TAAACACGTTAATTACTTACAGTCAAATGTTTTCCCAAGGCTGAACTGTTAGAAGATCGCATTTCTAAGCTGTGCTGCCTGCGATGCTTTCCTTTCTCGTTCTGAACATGTCATAACATTTCCGCAATTGTGCTATCAGATCGCTATTTCAAAATAAAAGTCCCGGAGGAAAATTCACGATATAATGAATGCAATAGCAAAATAAAATACACAGAAAAATACCATTTAAATTTTTTAAAGTCAGCACATAATGAGTGTTATGACTGTATACCGTATCTCTTAAATATCCGTCTAGTTTGAACTTGCCGTGCTGCAACTGCTTTTAAAGAGCTAAACTCAGATCAATATTTTGTGTCTATTTATGTACTTTAATGGCGTTTAATAAGCGGGATAATGCCCATCTAGCCGGTTGTTATCTCAGAATAAACCCCTTCAGGCTGATTGAAGACCTGATCCTGATCACCCTGTCGGGGTTTATTCTGAGATAACAACCGGCTGGATGGACATTAGCCTTACTTACACCCAGGTACAAGTATGACACAGAAGACCTGCCGTCTTTATTCACTGCTTGTTGTTTGTTCCTGCCCTCATATTTCCTGGATGATCTGGACACACTTCTCTGTCTCTTCCAGGCACTTCGCTCATCCTGTGAGGTGATTTTAACATTCAAATAGACTAGGGTTGATAAAAAGCTAATAAATAATTAAATCAAATGTAACATTAAAGGGCACCCATTGTGCAAAATTCACGTTTGAACATAAATTTGTGTGTTGGTACACAACCACCCTATGCAGCACGTATGTTATGTATGTTTCATGTGTGTGTATTGTGATGGTGGAAACAAATTTGCTAAAAAGGACAATAAAAGGAATCAATCAATCAGTAATGATATAAATCCACTTTTAAATCCCCATAAATCACATGGACACAGCAACCCCATAGACTTCAACGGAGAAAAGTCAATTAGAAGCACTCACTTCCTGTTGGCCGAGCGACTGCGCAATTTCTCTACTGTGTTATGACGCAATCGTTAGCCTAGTTTTACAAAAACTACTGCTACTGGGCCATAACGTAATATACAATGTAATGGAGCATTTTATACATTGTCGGGTTTCTTTAGAAATAAACAATGGACAAATGGAGTCTTTAAACGGCTCAGATGTAAAGTTATTCGCTGTCAAAGTGACGCCAAAATGAATGGGAGTCAATGGGAATGCTAACAGCAGGTGAAGGCTTGCTAGCCAGAGACTTCAGTTTCCGACCGTCGGATTACCCCCTTGTTATATCATAAGCATTGTCTCAGAACAAGCCGTTCTCAGATTCAGGGCAGTGTGAAGTACTTTTGCACAAGCCCCGCCCACAACTGTTTGACGGATAAAATGAACACAACTACTGAGAGTTTCTCTTCTGATGTTATATTTTCGCGAGATGAGGTTGTCCCGCGAGCTCGTGAGGCTCCGCCCCCTGGGCCGGCAGCAACTCATTTGCATTTAAAGGGAAACACACTAAAACGGTGCGTTTTCCTCTGCCCCGAAAAGTGAAAATTTTATATAAAAATTTCTCCCGTTCTGAGTGAAAATTTAATCTTACTGTAAAAAATGATCTGTGGGGTATTTTGAGCTAAAACTTCACATACACACTCTAGGGATATCAGAGACTTATTTGACATCTTGTGGAAAAGGGGCATAATAGGTGGGTGTGTACATAATTAAACAAAATAGTGACATCAAATCAAAGACTGTGATGATTTGAGAGTTAGTTGGTTCTTGTAAAGAGAGAATCCGAGTGTAAGCACTCCTTTTTTTACATAAAAACCATCAAAATTAAACTCATACTAAAAAAGAAGAGCTAATTTATCTGTTTACATGTCATGTCGTCATTAACCAACATCAGATAACTGTGCATATGTCGTTACATTAATGAAAATCTTGCCTTAAAAAAACTGAGGGGGTGCTTAAGTAAATATTTGACATTTTATGGATTTGGCTGACAGTAAAGTTTGGGAACCCCTGGGCGAGTCCTCTAAAACCGGTCTCTCCTTCATGTGTCTATCACTTCATCATCTCATGCTGTTGTTCACAAGAAACCTTTGGAGCTGCTCACTATCTGCATCTCGTCTTCACTGCGTTTTACATCAGTTTCCATCTTTCTTTTCTTTTTCTTAGCATGTCTGCAAATCTTTATGCATCTGACTTGAATCCCAGGCTGTAATCGATGTCCATTACTGTCCTCACTGTTATACAGCAGCATATTATCAAGAAATGTTGGGATTTATTGTTTATTTCCATATGGGTATTTCTTCACAATGTTCACTAACACCTAGCAATGTCAACTTTAGGGAAAAAAAAAAAAATATATATATATATATATACACACACACACACGCATATATACAGTGGCCAAAATTACTAGAACGGTAAGATTTTAATGTTTTAAAAAGTGTCTTCTGCTCACCAAGGCTTCATTTATTTGATCCAAAATCCAGCAAAAACAGTAATATTGTGAAATATTTTTACAATTTAATTTTACCGTTTTCTCTTTGAATATGTGTTCAAATGTAATTTATTCCTGTGATGGCAAACTGAATTTCCAGCAGTCTTCAGTGTCACATGATCTTTCAGAAATCATTGTAATATGATGATTTGATGATCAAGAAACATGTCTGATTATTATCAATGTTGAAAGCAGTTGTGTACAATTTATTTTCAGGATTCTTCGATGAATAGAAAGTTCAAAAGAACAGCATTTGTCTGAAGTAGAAAGCTTTTGCTGTATAATAAATGTCTATACTGTCACTTTTGATCAATTTAATGGGTCCTTGCTGAATACAATTTATTAATTTCTTTTCAAAAAAACCCAAAAAACTCTTTACTGAACGAACGGTAGTGATAATGTTACAAAAGCTTTAATTTCAGATAAATGCTGTTTTAATAAAAGGGGGCAATATTTAATAATGTGATTTTGAATGAAATATCAAAAGGGCAAACAATGCAGATTTATTTTTTACTGCCGTCTTTGATCATATTTACCAAGGGGGCAAATAATTCTGACATGCACTGTATATACTGTACTTTTTAAGTTTAAATATAACATCTGTCAAAATAATTTTTACAATAATTATTACTTTTGAAATATTGATATTATCAAATGGATTTCTATAATTTGGTCAAACAAGTTTAGAATTACAAAGCACAGAACATAACAGAATTAATCTGATTTAATGCCAATAATTACTGTGCTGAAATTTTCCCACAAAAATGACATCACTTCCTGGCGGATAACTGTCACTTGCCCGTATACGGGCAATCTAAATTTACTTCACTATATTACTATTAAATCCTAATCTAGTCTTGACAAACTATATATCGTTGGAAAGGTCTAAGACTCCTAAATAGATATTTTAGCGCTGTTTCTTTCTTACAAATTATGAATGAACAGTAATATATGAATTTGTGACAAGAGTGTGCCTCAAAAAAATGAACGTCATTGCAGGAGTTTCTGACCTTTGTCACAAAAAGTCGACGCACACACTTTTAATAATTGAAACTTTGGTTTTTAGTGCTAAAAGTTCATAATAAAACATAATTAGTATTTGTCAATAAAAAAAGATAAAATTATATTTTAAACAGTAAGGTAAGAAATCCTCTAAAAGTATAATATATATATATATAAATATAATTTTTTTATTATTATTATATCACATATTTTGGTAGTTATCATAAATTAGGTATCATTTGAAAGCTTACGAACTCAGAATTCATCCTGTGAAAGCGTTTTGAAATTGGACGTTGCGTTACCATAGAAACTGTATTTTTTATTAGGCCCCTCCCCTTTTGGGCATCACCTTTCATAATTTATTATCAAAACCTTTTCTAATCTTGACAAAACACATATTGTCAGAAAGGTATGAGTCTCAAGGTTCCATATTTTGTGACAGAAGTGGTATTTGAATAGAAATTTATTAATTTGTTATGGCAGAATGCATACAATTAAATTCAATGGAATTCAATGGCACCCGGTGGCTATTTTTGGTATAATTATAAACAAAATCTCATGGGAAATTCAAAATTTGTGATATCAACTTTAAATTTGGAACACAGCTGGGCTTTCATTTTATAGTAATTTTATAGCAAAAAATATTTTGTAAAATATTTATTTTATATTAAAAAATATATTAATAAATTATATTTGATTTACTGTAAATTATCATACTTTTTCATTGAAGTGTTTTCACTTCAGTAATAATCTGCTGATTGTTTTCTTGAAAACAAGACCAAACTTAGGTATATATATTTCAACGCATTCTTGAATTACAACCATTTAAGTTTGTATAGTGCATTTTTATCAAAAAAGGGTTGACAGGTAAGGGGTTAAGGAAGTTTTTAAGAGAATTTTTTTTTTATTTGAAATATTTTGATTACATAAAGGAACAAATGACCAAACACCTGGAATATTCTTAATAGATCTTGATCTTCACATCTGCACCTGCATGAGACATGACAAAAATGAACAGCCACTCAAACCAAAGTAGTCAAATGTATATATTTACAAATGTTGGTGAGTTTGGTTCGCACGAGGACTTGAGAATGCACTACATAATAAGAACGGCCTCTCTAATACGTGACGTTTGTTTGCAAAAAAAAAGGCCAGGGCCTTCGTGCCTTGTTTGATACAGCAGCCAGAACACACACACACTGTGTGAAATGAGATTATTATCTGTTACGTAAGTCACTTTCTCTTCGTGACAGTCTCCTGACCGCAGTCCTCTGGGAGATTAATCAGTGCTAAAACGCTAGAAAAGAGGACTGACGATGTCATATGTGACTGCTACTAGATAGACATTTTTATTTACTCTCGCTCATCGTGAGACTGGGATTGTGACACGGTCACTCTTCTGTTTCGGCCCACACTCATTCACTGGCTTGCCCTCCATAGCTGTTAGAGTCTGTCTGTGTGTGTTTGAGTGCCTGATTGTGTGTGTGTGTGTTGTTTTCTTGCAGAATGGCAGAACACCTCTGCATTTGGCTGCCTATAAAGGCCACATTGCTGTTGTGAGGATTCTGCTCGCTGCTGGATGTGACCTGGATATTCAAGATGATGTGAGTATAAAATGTAAAATGTAATATAAAATAAATTTTCTCGTAAAAACAGACCTATCACTGATGACGTGTCACTGATGAGGTTTTCCATTGAACAAAGTCACTGTTGAATCTAATCTTTATATAAAATAAAAAAAAACTTAAACGGGGGGGGATGTTACTTCTTTTTTTCTTTGCATGATTGTGTTTATGGGGTGCAATAAGTGTTTCTTTTTTTCGAGCGGTTGACTTCCTGATTCTATGAAACCACTCCCTCAGAAACAGTCAGTGGGCTCAGATTGGTTAGTTTGGGCCGGTGTGTTGTGATTGGCTAAACTGTACCTCACGTTGTCCGGAAGGTTAACACCCATATAGAGCCTTATTTCGGAAAAATATTGAATGGTAGTCAATTGCGAGAGACAACAAATATTTTGATCTTGTTTGAATTGTGCCCTGAATTACACATATGATGTTTGTCAATTTAAAGTAAAGAAAGTCGCAGTTTGATGTAAAACCGTTGAGGTATAAGACTGTGAAAATACGTAATTACAAAGACTACAAACCCCAAAGGTGCACATTTTCTCTCAATGAATGAAGCTAACTTTACTGAGGCTAACGTCTGTCATTGTTTCTATAGTCTTACGTTATAATCGTAACGTTACGAGTGTTTTGTACCAGACTGCACACACACGAGCAGCACATCTCGTTTCGTTTCCTGGGACATGTAGTTCACAGAGTGATTTTCACATAAAACTAAATGTTACTCTTCTGTTTTGTGACAAACTGCGATGTTTTTGACTTTCAGAATTATCTTTTAAATAGACAAACATCATATGTGTAATTGAGGGCACAGTTCAGACAGAATAAAAAGATAAGTTGTCTCTCGCCATTGACTACCACACATATTTTTTTCCGAAATAAGGTCCCATGAGCCGGAAGCGGAGGGGATCAGAATCAGACCCAGAGAACCTTATCAACACACGGCTCTTACAAAACGTTTCTGAATGGTAATTTGCCTATATATATATATATTTTTTTTTTATTATTATTATTTATTTATTTATTTATTTATTTTACTATATACTGGTTTGTTTTACACAAATAGCATCGAACTGACTGGCTACTATATACTCAAACAGTGTTGGCATTGGTTTACGTTCTTGATCGAATCGAAAAATAACGTCATAAAGCATATATACATGAAAAATATATTTACAACATTAGTACTTATACAAATTCAGGTCCATACAATTAAAAGAATAATTCACCCAGAAATGTACACCAGTTTCCTTGCAAACCACCATGACTTTCTTTAGTGCAGCACAAAAGCAGATGTTTTGAGGAAAAGCATAAAAGCACCATAACTCACGCATTATACTCGGGTCAGAAGAGCGATGAGGAACAGAGCACAGCACGTTTATAGTTTTAGTATTTTTCCTTCGTATTTTGTCAGATGATGTTCCACAACACAAACCTTATCTGTGTTTTGGCAACCGTGCCATTTTTTGTTTTTCTTTCTGCTCCAGAGAAAGAATCCTGATTTTACAGAAGATCCTGAAAAAACGGAGAAATGTTGATCTTAAACCGTGTGCCCTGCACTTCTACTGAATCTATCGCGCTACACCAAACAAAATCATATTTATACAGCATTTCTTTTCAAATAATCCAAAATCTGTTGTCGTGTTTTGACCAGAATCAGAAATCTGTTTTGTCCAAAACAAGATTGCTAAACTGATTGCTGTAACTGCACGGCTTGACGGATGTGTTGTTCTCCCTCAGGGTGACCAGACAGCCGTGCACAGAGCCGCTGTGGTGGGGAACACGGACGTCATCTCCGCGCTCGTTCAGGAAGGATGTGCACTTGATAGACAAGACAAGGTGCATATTTCTCATTCTCATATATGCTACAAATCACTTACTATAGCAGGAGTTGCACCGCTTTGTTTTCATTACTTTCACTGCACATATAATATATAAAGAATAATGTATAGTAATCTGGTCAAATAACTGGAATATTGATTGGAGTGTATATACTTTTATTGAGTGAGAAGGAGACCATGGAGTGACACATGAGATGTGAAACTATGAAAAATATTGAATGGTAGTCAATGGCGAGAGACAACAAATATTTTGATCTCCTTTGAATTGTGCCCTGAATTACACATATGATGTTTGTACATTTAAAATATATATTTTAAAGTAAAGAAAGTCGTTAAACCGTCGAGGTATAAGACTGTGAAAATACGTAATTACAAAGACTACAAACCCCAAAGGTGCACATTTTCTCTCAATGAATGAAGCTAACTTTACTGAGGCTAACGTCGGTCATTGTTTCTACAGTCTTACGTTATAATCGTAACGTTACGAGTGTTTTGTACCAGACTGCACACACACGAGCAGCGCATCTCGCTTGTTGTTTCGCTTCCTGGGAGATGTAGTTCACAGAGCGATTTTCACATAAAACTAAATGTTACTCTTCTGTTTTATGACAAACTGCGACGTTTTTGACTTTCAGAATTATCTTTTAAATAGACAAACATCATATGTGTAATTGAGGGCACAGTTCAGACGGAATAAAAAGATAAGTTGTCTCTCGCCATTGACTACCACACATATTTTTTCCGAAATAAGGTCCCATGAGCCGGAAGCGAAGGGGCGGGACTTCGGCTCTCTATTGCAATATTTCCCCCGATTACAATTTTTGGTAACACTTTACTTGAAGGGGTGTGCATAAGACTGACATGATGCCTTTATAACCATGACATGACGCATGCCATGAATATGAGGGCGGTTTTATGCATTTATGCATTATAACAACTGTCATTAAGTGTCTTTCGCTCAATTATTACATTTTTAATGCAAATATGACATTGTTTAAGATGTCTTTATAAACAAATACATCTAACCTGTCAGTGTCTTTATCATGACAACGTGACATTACTAAGACAACATAAATTGTCATAAATATGTCATAAACATTATATATTATCAAACTTAAGAAACCACTTGGCTTTATGGGTAACATTACATTAAACTGTCATGTGGTTGGTTTAGAGATTGGCTGTCATGAAGTCATTATAACTGTGTCATGAATTGAATTTGTCAACTAATTCAACTAATTGAATTTGTCATTAGGCTTTAATGGCTTCATGACAGCCAATGTCAAAACCAACCACCTGACAGTTTAATGTAATGTTAACCACAAAGCTAAGTGGTTTCTTAAGTTTGATCATTAATCTGCTATGTCATGTTAATGACATATTTATGACAGGTTGTGTTGTCTTAGTAATGTCAAGTTGTCATTAGCAAGACACTTACAAGTTATGATGTATTGGTTGGTCAAGGTGTCATAACAAATACATCTCAAACAATGTCACATTTGCTTTAAAAATGTCATAATTGAGCGAATGACACTTAAAGACAGTTGTCATAAACTATCTGATCTATATATATATATATATATATATATATATTATACATGAATGCATATATAGACACTCATAGGCCACTTTATTAGGTACACGTTGCTAGTGCCGAGTTGAACCCTCTTTTGCGTTCAGAACTGCTTTAATTCTCCGTGGCACAGATTCAGCAAGGTGACATTCCTCAGAGATTTTGCTCCACATTGAATCTCCTCAGAATCAGCTTTTATTGCAAGTACATGTGCAAGGAATTTGTCCTGTTGCAACATGTGCATAAAAATAGTAAGAAAACTGGGAATAAAAATAATATGAATAAAAATAGACATCTTTTTCAAAATGTTACTGTACATTTAACAGTACATTGGGAACTCCTGTTCCTCCACATCTCAAAGCGGCTCCACTGGATGGAGATCTGGTGACTGAAGGCCTATCCCGCTGGAAGAGGCAAGGATATTTAGGTTGGCTGTGGCATTTAAACGTTGCTCAGTTGGTACTAAGGGGCGCAAAGTGTGTCAAGAAAATAATCCAAACACCATTACACCAGCCTGAACCATTGACACAAGTCCAACATTGAGCTGCTTCCAAATGATTGGCTGAGAACAGGGACGTGCACAGACATTTTGAGGGGCAGGGGCTCAAGTGAAAAAACGGGCACTTCTCATAATTTTTTTAAAAATTTATTTTACTTTTTTGAAACAAAAAAAAGTATATATATTAACAACTCTAATATTTTTTTTAAAATATTTAAAAAGTTAATTAATTTTATCTTCCTCAAACTCATGCAATTGTTTAATTTTCAAAAGATGTCTACAAAATAATCAGTTCACACAGAAATGTAGATTTCTTCTAAATTCACCAATTTAGATTTCTAAACTTCAGGGGAAAGACTCTTGATGTAGCTATGTAAGTCATTAACTTTAATAATAAGAATTTTAGGCCATACAAATTCATAAAAACGTCCGGATTTTCCATACAAGGCCAGAAATTACATTTAGCCACGTCATTGATATGCTCATTCATTCATTATCACTATACAATTTTTCGCGACAAAACGTTATCAAGTTCGAGTCAAAATCGGCAATACTCGATATCAATATAGAGTTCGATAAACGTTCGATAATGTTTATGTGGCAAAAGCACAACGAAACTCATTTGAAGCGCGCGCCTCACGGACTGTTTATCCGCTCGGCTCATAGTCCAAACGGCAGCGCGAGCTCACTAGAGGTGACGCGTTTACTCTGATCGGCGCTTCATAACTCCTGATCTGGTATTTAGATACACTATGCATTAAATATAGTTGTTTGACAGGGAAACTGCGCAAATAGTAGTATGTATTTTCTTAAAAAATAGAATAAAAAAGCACCCCAGAAAAAAGGGCTCTTTCTCTCCAGGAATAAAAAGGGCAGGTGCTCAAGCCCCCTTTGATGTCTATGTGTGCACGTGCCTGGCTGAGAAGATATTTGCATTAACAAGCATTTGATGAAGTGTACCTGTGTGTGTGTTTAAAATAGGGAATCACAGTCTGTCAGATCAAATTATGATTATGTCAAAACATAACCAACACCATCTGATCAACTTTTCTCTTCGTTCATCTGGCAGTTATAACTCAGATACAACAGCCAAACAAAATCTAATCTTAACAGTTTAAGAGTCAAGAGCCCAACTAAAGCAAATACTGATCATCATAATGGTGACTTAAAAATAGTTTTTCTATTATTTTCATCAGGTGTCTTTAATCATCACTTAATCAGCTCATGAACTTTAACACAGTTGAACAGTTCAACCTTTAAAAGAAAGGGTACATAAATGTACCTTCTAATGCTGAATGTGCAGTATGTGTGTGTGTCTCCTCAGGATGGGAACACTGCTCTACACGAGGCTGCGTGGCACGGCTTCAGTCAGTCTGTCAAACTGCTGGTGAAGGCTGGAGCCAACGTTCACGCTAAGAACAAGGTAACATCTGCCACCGCACAAACACCCGTAGTGCAGAAATCAACATTTAAAGCTACACTGTGTAACTCTTTTAGTTTATTCTTAGTTAAAAACACTTAGTTCTTTCAAAAATATATGTGCTCATTAATGTTTCTTGAATGAGGGACATACCCGTTAATTCAATCTTCGCCTTTCGCGTTTACATTTGAGTTAACACTCATGGACGAGGTCGAACTGGAAGCCATGTTAATCTTGGACTACATTGGCCACCGTAGGAGTTAAAACGAAATCAGAATTGAGAGGAACAGAAACTAATATTCACTGGATGGTCATATACCTTTTCACCACTAGATGGGGGTAAAAATCACACAGTGTAGCTTTAAAGAGGATCAGGAAAGCTCATCAAAGTTGTCCTGAGACAAAAATGGGTGTTGTTCAAAATTCATGTATAACTTTGAAAGTTTTTGATCCACTTCAAATGTTGCCTTCTGTATATTAATCAAATGGTGGTGCTAGTTTGGGTGTTTTCCGACTGATCTTGTGTTTGGGTGATGTCACTACACTCGTAAATGCATTGCACACGTAATGATGTTGTTTGGAGGCTCGAACGTTTCAGTTTCAGTCTCGTGCAGCTCTGCAACCCCTTCAATCATGACTAGTTATGGTTCACATTACAGCACAGCCTTATTGCAGTAATAAAACACTCAATACATCGGTTAAATTGACACAAATGTGTATGTCGGTGTTTATTTGATTATGATGATTTTATTCATTCATAAAGTCACATACTTCCATCAGAAGATCAAGCCTGTACATTTAAGATGAACATTTAATACTCAATCCAAGGGTGCTTTTTATAGCTCGTCCGGATCCAGTAATGATGCCTTCACCCACACCTAACCTTCGGAGCAGTTTACCGATTCATATTAGGACTGCAACAGTTTTTTTAAATTAACCCTCTGATGGTCTTCCTTTATGAGTCACGTCCTGGGCCTTCCCGGTCAGAAGTGACCGAAGGCCTAAAAATGAAACTTCTTCCATCCCAGTTAAACCAATGCAATTTATTTTTTTTCTATAATATTTATTCTTTTTAATTTAGTATTTTGAGACAATTTGATTGAATTTATTAATATTTATACAATATTTATGGTCTATTTGTTTCAATGGTTAATATATATACAGTATATTTTTCTATATATATGTTTTTTTTTTTTTTAAATATTAATGCAGTATTTTAGTTTAATATAGAGTCTAGGCCTTCAGAAAAAATATATTTTTTGAAGAAAATTAGCACTATCTGGTTACAGTATAGAGAAAAAGCGTAGAATCATGGTGTAACCACTAGATGACATGTGCAGCTCTCTATGGAGAGGCATGTGAATTCCCCAGATGTTTATGAACACTTTTTTTTTTTGGTGGATTTGAATATATAATTGAAACAATCTCAAAAACTATTTCTTATTTAAAAAAAATGTAAAAAACAATAAATAAATAAAATAAAAAATTGTGAATTTTTGTGTTTTTGTCAATTTTCCATTCATTTCCTATGGGTCGGCCATTTTTGACCAAAGACCAAAATCGTGACTAATTTTTTTACGACCACTTAGCATGCTCGGATCATGAACTCATTTTTTTTGTGTGTTCACATACATAATACCAAAAATGTCACCAAGTTTCGTAACATTCAGATGAAGCTGTGATTTTTAAAAATTCAAAACAGATTTTTTGTAGTCTGAATTTATTGGTTTGTATGTGTATAAAAGTGTGTTTGTATGTGTTTGTATGTGTGGGTGGGTGTAAATTTTTTGCACTCTTGATGTTGTAGAGTGTCACCCCTTTACTGCGGTATACTTCTTTTAAGAATCGTGGCCGATTTGTAGATTGTACAAACAAAATTCAGAGAATTTTTTTTTGTTGTTGTTGTAAATTTCCCATTCATTTCCTATGGGTCGGTCATTTCTGACCGAAGACCACGAGTGTGACTCTTTTTTTTATGACCACTTAGCATGCTCGGATCATGACCTCAATTTTTTTTTGTATTCACATACCAAATACCAAAAAAAGTCATCAAGTTTCATAACCTTCCGATGAAGCTGTGATTTTTAATAATTCAAAACAGAAAATTATTCGGTCAGAAGTGACCGAGGACCATCAGGGGGTTAAAAACGTATCTCTTTTCTGTTGCCTATAACTTGTGATGTCCCTTGTTAGCTCATTGGTCAACTCCGGTTGTTTTTAATTGTCCGTTATAAATAAACTGAGATTGAGATTAACGTGCTATCCAGTGGCGTAGCCACGAGGGGGCCTGGGTGGGCCTAGGCCCCCTCATTTACATGTCCGGTCCCCTCAGATTTTCTGATTGCTTAAAAAAAAAAAAAAAAAGTTGTTTTATTAGGATTGATAGATTGACCAATCAAAATGCTGCGCGGGAAAATGCAGCTTATTTTCAAACTTGATTTGTTTATATAACGTGTTGCGCGTAACGTACGCTGTCATCTTCATCTTTGCGTGAGAGTTAATATGCCGTGACAATGGCAGGCACTCAAACTCAAAGTACAATATTACACTTTTTTAAAAAAGCACGGAAAGATCAATGATCAAAGATCAATTGATATACAGTATATATAAATAATGTTGCCCCCTCATTTAAAGACAGGACCCCCCAAAAATAAAATTCTGGCTACGCCCCTGGTGCTATCAGAAATCCATACTTCTCACTTCAGAAGTCGTGATTACGAGCTCGTCGCTTTCAAATGTCGACTTGAGAGGGCGTTCATGTCCAGTTTCTGAACTAGGAAACTAGTATTTCCGATAATTCCTGTCAGTATAATTGTGTGTGTGTTGGATGTCTCTCAGGCAGGGAACACGGCTCTTCACCTGGCGTGTCAGAACGGTCACGCTCAGAGCGCGAAGGTCCTGCTGCTGGGCGGCTCTCGGCCCGACAGCAAGAACAGCGTGAGTGCCGTCAAACTGATTCTCTCCTCTTCATCTGTGTGTTGGTTATTTAACCTGGAAACAACAAGCTATTCCAGTAATATTCAGTGGACATGTCTTCCTCAGGTAGGGGACACGTGTCTGCATGTGTCTGCCCGGTATAACCATGTGACCGTGATCCGAGCGCTCCTGGGTGCCGTCTGCTCGGTTACTGAACGAAACCACGTGAGTAAGGACTGTTTTTGGGACATGAGACAAGCTGTACTACTTCTAAACCTGTTTTAAACCCGTCATTCTGTGTCGCATCAAACAAACTTTAAAAACTTATTATTTGTTAAGCCAAAATATTAACGCCATCAAAGATCAAAATCAACCTTTTAATCCGGGGACCTCTGGTTAATTTGACACGGAATGACCCGTTTGACTGATCTTGTGTAAGCTGTGATTAATGTGATGTCCAGGCAGGGGACTCCGCTTTACACATCGCAGCTGCGCTGAACCACAGGAAGACTGTGCGCATGTTACTGGAGGCCGGGGCCGACAGCCGCGTCAAGAACAATGTGAGCACCTTCAGAAATGTTTCCTGAGCTTAGTGAAACACACCCTACACAAGTGCTTGAACACAAATGCCTCTCGATATGATGCACTGATAGGGTTTCACATAATGTGCTGAAAGTAGGCTTTGCATTCTTTGCTGAATCTTACTGAGCAACTTAGTTAGTAGTCAATCATTGTATCCCTTAAAACTCACCTTTGTGGTGTTTTTAAAGGAGTAGTTGCTGATAATTGACTCACCCCCGTGTCATCCAAGATGTTCATGTCTTTCTTTCTTCAGTCGAAAAGAAATGAAGGTTTTTGATTAAAACATTCCAGAATTTTTCTCCATATAATGGACTTCAATGGGAACCAAACGGTTCGAGGTCCAAAAGAGAGTTTCAGTGCAAACTGTTCAAAGGGCTTTAAACGATTCCAGACGATGAATAAGGGTCTTATCAAGCGAAACGATCGCTCATTTAATAAATAAATGACAAAGTTTAAGTTTTATAAGCTCAAATGCCTTGCTCTGTTCTGTGTGACTCTCCTGTTCGAACTCGTTCATCAAAATGAACGAATCTTTTTTCGAGTCATTTGGTTAACCATATTTTGAATCATTTCGCTTGATAAGACCCTTATTCATCGTCTGGAATCGTTTAAAGCCCTTTGAAGCTGCACTGAAACTCTCATTTGGACCTTGAACCGTTTGGTCCCCATTGAAGTCCATTATATGGAGAAAATCCTGGAATGTTTTCATCAAAAACCTTAATTTCTTTTCGACTGAAGAAAGAAAGACGCGGACATCTTGGATGACACGGGGGTGAGAAAATTATCAGCAAAAGTTTTTTAAAGTGAACTACTCCTTTAATGTGCTTTTAAGACAAACCATGTGTAAACTCATGAGTGGACAGCATTGCTGAGTGTTTTTTGCAGTGAACCAAAGACAGTCTCAAAAACACGGTTTAAATCACTGGTGTTTCTAACGTCAGGTGAACGAGTGGATCTCTGAGCTGAGTGAGTGGAGGCGGGGCTCATTTGCATATTCATAGAACCGCGTTTCAGTCCCTCCAGAAAAACGCGATTATGCGATCGCTGAATTCAATGCAAAATCAGCCAAAGTCCGCATATTTATGCGGGGGCCGCATTTTTTCAAATACGCCGCACTTTCGCCGCATAAATTGCCGATTTCCGTGCAAAATATGTGGGGTTTGCATAATTTCATAATCCTCGCATTTTCGTTGCAAAAAAGTCACATGTATCTTAGCAGAAAGTTGTAAAATGTTGCGTTTGCTTCACACAAGAGCAGCCATTTCCCCCTGTTTCCATGGGAACGTTATGAAGTGACGCAATTACGCGACGCCAGACAGACACGGAGGCGATTGACATCTCACAAATCGAACTCGTATAACGGTCTGTCGCACGTTCTACAGTCACATCGTTCCTTAATAAACAACATAATATAAAAGAAGTAGCGTCAAAAAGAAATTAGCCGCACACATGGGGTGTTTGAGGCGCACATATAACACTGCAGAGAGTTCAATAGGGAGTGCGCAGCTCTTAAAGGGGCCACGCCTTATTTACACTCTTACAGTCTGAAATAAAACAAGATGAGAAATTAAATATTCCCAGAACTTTCTATGATGTAGTATGCTTGCTTATCAAAGGAAGTAATAAGAAATGACTCTTACATTAACAGGATGTTGGGGGAATCACTTTTTTTCTCTTTTTTATCAAACCGCAATTTTTGCAAGTTCCCTCAATTTTTGCAAATTCCTGCAATTTCATCCCATAAAATTGCATAAATATCCCGCATATTCTTTCCATCGCATTTTTAAAGAAAACGGGCCACGTAATCAAGGATTTTTGCCCGCAACAATCACAAATAAACTCCGCGTTTTTCTGGAAGGACTGAATACTATTATGGTAAATGTTATATATAAATCGCAAATTTTTTCACAAATTTTTGGAAATTACCACCACAAAATCAGTCATTTTGATCGCAAAAATCACACAAAAAAAATCGTGAAATCCTGGAGGGACTGGCGTTTGCTAAATAAAGCTAGGGTGTCGAGTTACATTCAAGGTATTTTAAGGCTTGAAGATTTGTTTTTTTCAAGGAAAAAATATTTCAATATGTAATATTGGTGATCAAATATGAGTTTTAAGGGACAGAATGATTGACTTTAAGGAACATGGTTGTCTAGGTTGGCATTCAGCAGAAATGACACGCTTAACTGTGTGACGTTGTGTATGGTTCATTAGCTGTGTGTCTGTTTTGGGTGAAGACAGGAGAGACGGCCCTCGATCAGGCTCGTGAAAATAATAATCCTGAAGTGGCTCTGCTGCTCACCAAAGCCCCGCAGGTACGAAAACACACACACATACTCAAGAGCCTTTGAAAAAATCTTTCATTTTCATTATATGAATATAAAAAACTAAACAAAACAAAAACATTCAAAGTCTATTTTTCAATTATTTATTTATTCTTGATTCATTATCTATTATTAATCAAGTTTTAAGTGGGATGTTTTAGGGCTCAGCTTCATGATTCACTAATCTTACATGAGCCAAAGGATGATTTCACTCCAGATGTAACCTGACGCAGAACAATGCAAATATATTTCAACTTAGAGGTAGGGATGTAACAATATATTGTGTCACAATATATCGCAATACAAAAATTCATCAATATGCATCATGGATAGCAGTGTTGTAGTACTCGAGACTCGGACTCGTCTCGGACTCGGTCTCGAGACCATATTTTAATGGTCTTTCTTGGTCTTGTCATGGACTCGTGTCCATTTGGATTCGGAATTGACTCGTACTCGAACATTTTTTTTTTTAGGACTCGGACTTATTCCCGAGTCCACTCGAGTTCAATTAAAAATATTTTTCATGATTATTAATGTATGTGAATAAAATATTTCTTTAAATTGATTGACACGGCCAGTGATTGGTGATTTTCTAGTGCGCAACTGCGCATGACAAATTGTAATAAAATTACTTTTAACACCACCTACTATGTGGCCTTTTTACCCTAAACTGATCATATTTTTAAACTCTAAGTAAATTCAGTAAAAAAAAAAAAAAAAAAAAAAGGATTTCTCTAAGTAAATAAAAGTAAATTAGGTAATCAACCCTCACTGGTCTCGGACTCGACTCTCTATGGACTCGGTCTTGACTCGGACTCGACTCTCTCTGGTCTCGGTGTCGACTCGGACTCGAGTGAGGTGGTCTCGACTACAACACTGATGGATAGTGACAGTATTGTGTATAATTCACCCAAAATGAAAATTTCTGAGGTAAGCTTTTAAATTCGATTTTTAGAATACTACATTAAACCACTATATATAATGTTGAATATAATGCAATGGGGGGATATTTGTGGGTCCTGATAATGCCAAATGTCTGATGTTATCAGTAAAAAGTGGCCTACATTATTTTAAATATGTCTAGTCAGTGAAAGAGTGCAACAATATTCATCTAAAATAAGAATATAGAATCATAAATATTGTTATTCTGGTCTCTCTATTGTCCTGTGTTGGGTTATAAATAAATATCAGATCAGTGCCAAATATGTACAGATGAACAACACTTTAAAGGGCAAGTTCATCCAAATATGAAAGTTCTGTCATCATTTACTCGCCTAAGGCCAGTGTATTTTCCTCTCTTCTCAATAGTCATCAATGGGAGCGCTGCATTTAGAAACGGCAGTGGCATGATGGTGCGCTGAGTGCTTTGAGTTTTTTTTGAAAAATGTTCAACTTTGGGTAAAACGCAGCCACTTTTTACCTAGCTGTCCAATCACAGTGAAGGAGGGCGGGACAGAAAACACAGTGACCAACCGCAACATGACAAAAGACAACAACAGCACTACAAGCACTACATTCATTTTTATAGCCCTTAATCCTGTAATTGTGGACAAATGTGGGCACAGAGGACTCAGATGTGATCCTAATTTTTATTTATTATAAATGTTATATCACTGTCTTCGATAAAGTTTTGTCTATCCATTTATGGTGTTTTTTTTTTTTTTATTTGGGGGGTATTTTTGAATTTATTTACTTCAAAAAGTACCATATTTTCTGTGTAAATTATGTAAATTATTTTTTTTACATGACATTAAAATATCATTCCTACGGAGGCGTATTGCATTCACTTGAAGAAAAAAAATCAACTCTGTTTTTCTGAATTAACGAGTTAATTTTTCATGAGAAAAAAAATTTGCTCTGTTTTTCTGAATTAATGAGTTAATTTTTCATGAGAAATTTTATTTTGCTCTGTTTTTCTGAATTAACGAGTTAATTTTTCATGAGAAAAATTTTTTTTGCTCTGTTTTTCTCAATTAATTAGTTACGGAGGCGTATTGCATTCACTTGAAGAAAAAAAACCTACTCTGTTTTTCCGAATTAACAAGTTAATTTTTCATGAGAAAAAAAAAATTTGCTCTGTTTTTCTGAATTAATGAGTTAATTTTTCATGAGAAAAAAAAATTTGCTCTGTTTTTCTGAATTAATGAGTTAATTTTTCATGAGAAAAAAAGTTTTTGCTCTGTTTTTCTGAATTAACGAGTTAATTTCTCATGAGAAAAAAAAATGTTGCTCTGTTTTTCTGAATTAACGAGTTAATTTTTCATGAGAAAAAAAGTTTTTCTCTGTTTTTCTGAATTAATGAGTTAATTTTTCATGAGAAAAAAGTTTTTGCTCTGTTTTTCTGAATTAGTGAGTTAGTTTTTCTTGAGAAAAAAAGTTTTTGCTCTGTTTTTCTGAATTAACTCATTAATTCAGAAAAACAGAGCAAAAAAAAAAAATCCATTAAAAATTAACTCATTAATTCAGAAAAACAGAGCAAAAATGTTTTTCTCATGAAAAATTAACTCATTAATTCAGAAAAACAGAGCAAAAAAATTTTTTCTCATGAAAAATTAACTCATTAATTCAGAAAAACAGAGCAAAAAAAATTTCTCATGAAAAACTAACTCGTTAATTCAGAAAAACAGAGCAAAATTTTTTTTTCTCATGAAAAATTAACTCATTCATTCAGAAAAACAGAGCAAAAATTTTTTTCTCATGAAAAATTAACTCGTTAAATCAGAAAAACAGAGTAGATTTTTTTTTCTTCAAGTGAATGCAATACGCCTCCGTACATTCCAATAAGTTCTTAGAGCTAAAACCTAAAGATGAAGTGACTTTGCTGTCACCTGGTGTCTTATTTTTTTTTGTCTCTAAATTACAGTGTTTCCCATTCATTTCTATGGGTGCCCATTTTTGACCCAAATACAAGATTAAGGAGTTTTGTTTTTCTTCAACCACTTAACATTGTAGAATTGAGTCAAAAAAAAATGTGTGTGCGTTCAGGAGGCAAACTTAGGAAAAGTAGCCAAGTCTTGTACCGCTAAGATCAAGGGAATTATTTTTTTTTTATTAAATCAAAACTATTTTGCCCACATTTGTCCAGAATACGGTTTTAGGGTTAAAACGAGAGACAGAACGAGATTACCTTACATAGCAACCAATGTGTGTTGACTAAAAAAAACTGACAAAAATAGCCAGAATTTTGTCCAAAAAGACAAAAATTTCAGTCAAAATCATGACTCTCTTCTCTGGAACACACACACAACCATTAAATGTCATTTTTGACCATGACATTTAATGGTCATTTAATCAGACCCCATTAACTTCAATTTCATGGGGAGCAACAAAAAAAAACAACTCCTTTTGTGTTCCACTTGAAGAAAGTCAGTCACACAGATTTATTTTTATCTATTTTATTTACCAACAATTTACACTCTTCAGCATTACATTTATTTGTGTTAAGAATTACTGTGTATGTGCATGTAGAGCTTCACTCGAGGACGCACTGTGAGGAAGAGGAGGGACAAGATGAAGACCGAGGGTCGAGCACAGTCGGTCCCTCGCGAGGAGATGCTGCCGAGAAAGGTAGAGGAGCGAGACTGCTCTCAGACACCAGCCAAACACAAAGGACGAGTTCAAACATGCTGTCACTGAATGTTACGCAAGCATTGATGAATGACAGAACCTTTAATAACTCAACATTCATACTCCCCCGGTTATCAGACATGTGCATAACATTTCAATCATTAAAGGGATAGTTCACTTTGAAATTAATTTTTGATATGTTTTAGCTTATCTCAAGGGCATCCAAGATGTATGTGTCTTTGTTTCCACAGTATTTTCAAACCGTTGCTGCGTTGAGTTTTGCATCTTCAAGCTCAAACAAGGGCATCCTGTGTGGCAAAAGGGTGGTTGCCATGGTTGCGAGAGAGTGACAGTCGCCTAAGCCAATCCGTTGTTTCGTCCCGGTTCGAAATAATGAGCTGTGTTTAGTGCAGATTAAACGGTCTAGAGTCAGTCGATTTTTATACTCTTTTTTTTCAGAATACTTAGATTTTAATTATGCATTGATATATCTAGAAAGTTTAAACAAATTTGGAATTTTTTTTTTAAATAAAATTCTGACCTACACTACCTTTAACGCTAGTTAGCAAGTATTGTTCGCTTCTTTTTTTAACAATGACTGGAGAAAATCCGATTTTATCTTGTAAGGTCACTCAGTGTCTAGGGCCGCGATTATTATTTCCAAAAGTTATCTTTAACGAACAGATTGGTCGACCCGTAGCCGCCTACAAGCTCACTCAATGCATGGACGATCTGAAAGGATTAACGTACGTTACCTCGGTTGAGTGGTCTGACTTCTACACCTACCTTACAGAGAAACCGATCGTAAAGAGAAACTGAGGCATATACATCTTTAGATGCCTATACCCAGATAGCAAACTGACGTTGAATCAACATGGAAATATGACATAGAAACAACGTTGATCTGACATTGTTTTGCTCATCGAATTAACGTTGAACCAACGTCAGACGCGTCATTCTTTCAAAACTAACGGAAAATCAACTTGAAATCAACGCGTTGTTTCAACGTTATGAAAGCAAACCAATTTTCGATTTCATTTAGCTTTGAAGAATGCCGCGTCTGACGTTGGTTCAACGTTAATTCGATGAGCAAAATCAACGTTGTTTCAATGTCATGAGAGACGTCGTTTCCACGTTGATTCAATGTCAGTTTGCTGTCTGGGTATGGACCTGTACAAGACTTGTGTGTACGATCCGCAGTTCTGCCGAGTCAGCGCCGAGACCACGACAATGTAAAGAGTGACATTACAGTGCGATTTTAATGATGTGAATATTTTCTCGAAAAAAAAATTCCAGATACATCATTTTTCATCAATTCTTGCACCTGACAACACAACAAGATGACATTTAATAATAGTAACAATTATTTAAGCTCCTTATTATGTAGCCGAATCTGTGGTGGTTTGCTCCAGTTTTCACTTTGTTTTGCCTCCAGCTAGCGCCGTGACGTAACTGGGTCTATATTGAAGAAAAGATCTGTTGCTACAATAAATGTGTAGCACTTTCTGTTGTGTTTTACACACTTCTGTTATCTGTGGACTTTACGCTGTGCCTTTAACCCTTATGCTGCATTAGGGACATTTTTGGTCTTTTGTAGTTTAATTTCTTTGACCATTTTGGCCGGTTTTAATGCAAATGGTATGAAATTTGGCAAAATTGTGACTTTTTGGATACATGTAAAAAATGTGATCCCATTTTGCAAAATATGTATAACACACACTGTGTAGATCAAATAGTAACACTCAGCACCATAAAGACCAAAAATGGCCCATTGAAACCCATTAAAACGTTGTTTAAATCTGAGGCTGTCAGTAATACATGAAACATGATTTTTGCACAAACATCCTTTCATTTTGAAGCAAAAGCATTATATTTGCATTATATAGTGTATTCCACCAGATGACGTCACTACATATTTATTCCCTATGGGTGGAAATGCACCTTATTTTAGGCAATAGGCAATGTTTAATAGGTGGCCATTTTTGGTCTCTAACGCGCTAAGTGGGATTTTTTGCAAAGATAATCCAAATCTAAAGTTTTCTCTTTGCATTTAGTTTATTGAAAATAATTGAATTTTTGTGTTTTTTCCTCTTATACAAATCGATGGTTTCGCAAACAAAACTGGTAATTAAAGGGTTAAAATCCTGAAATTGAATACATTTTTGGTAGTTATGATGAGGACTGATGCTGGTTAAAAGATTTAACTTGGTAAAAGTGGGAAATAATAATAATATATAATATTTTAGGCAATGTTTAATATGTGGCCATTTTTGGTCCTTAATGCACTCAACGGTGTTAAAAATCTAATGCAGCACAAGGGTTAAAGACCTTAACTCGTGTGTTTGTTGCAGGACAGTGTCTCTCCAGCCAACGACACTCACGGCAGCGACAGTTCTCTCCGGCACAACGACACCGGGTTCCTCACAGAGGCACGTGCGAACAAAACCAGCGACAAGAAGGTCAAAGACAGGGTATGCACTTTCTCCTTTAGGGAGTAATGGATATGATATGTGAAGGGGAGGGTCTGGGTATGTATTGTATGCATGTAATGATAGGAATTTGCATAAAAAAGACTATTGATGGACTCCTGCTGCCATTGACTTTGTTTTCTCGTGTTAAACTGCTCCCTACATTCTCACACCTCATGGATTGTGTACTGTGTGTGTTTGCAGCTGTCCCCATCAGATGCCCTCATCCGAAGACAAAATAAACACAGCGATCATAAGAAGAAGAGTAAAACCGAGAGATCAAGTCCCTCAGCTCCTCTTCCTCCTCCTCCTCATAACTACAAGGCTTACCAGCTCTATACTCTCTACAGAGGCAAAGATGGCAAGATCATGCAGGCAAGCACCAAACCTGTTTCCCCGACAGATTAAACTCACTTCAGTCTAAAAACTTGTATTACTGAGACTGTACAAGAACCTTTAGAGTGTGTGTGTGTGTGTGTGTGTGCTTGGGTTACACATCTCTGCCTGGACCAGTGCCACACTGTAAATTACAGAGTATTATTTTACAATAAATTACTGTAGTTAGAAATTTACAGTGAACTTGATGCATGCTGGGTCATTTTTATTACTATTGACATCAGTATTTTACTGCTCTCGTTTTACCGTGATTTCACATTATAAAGTTGGTAAGGCTTCCTTTTACAGTACAGTACGTACAGTGTACTTACCTTGAAAGTACTGGCTAAAATAAGGTAAGTACGTGGAACAGGGGTAGGTTCAGGTTAGTACTAGTTATTACCCTGTAATTGTAGTTACTAAAATAAGTACATAGTATTTCCATGGGTAACTGGACTGTAAAAGGAAGCGTTACCATAAAGTTTTCTTTAATCACGCCACGGTAAGACATTATATTGTTTAGTACTGTAATTGTAACTGCAATTATTAACTTGGAATATACTGTAATTTCACACTGAAATGTTTAACAGTGCAAAGAAAATTGAGTAAATGTTTTAAGTAGACCCAGACCGATATATCGGCCGATATTAGGCATTTTCTATAATATCGGTATCGGCAGTTATAATGGCCGATAAATTAATATTTAAAAAATAAAATAAAAATGGACGAAACACACTTCAATCATCTCTCCTTGGCCTGTTATATTGAAAATGTACGTTTTACAATTTGCAGTATGATGTTATCTATTGCTAAATTATGGCTCATCATAGACTAGCTAACCACAAAGCTATAGCTAATGCCACTATCATCAGTGGAAGACCGCTAACGTTAACTTTAATGAGCTTGGAAACCACAGTGAACTTTTTCTGCCTGAATAAAGTAATGATTACTGTATTTATAACTAGCATATCTCTAGTTACAGTCCCTGCATTGTAAAATGTAAGTTATACTTGAGAGGAGTGAACATTTAGACATAGAGAAAAACTATCAAACGTATCTTGTGCAGAAAAGTTAGCTTTTCTTTTACACGTGACGTGTATGAAATCCAACAATATTTAATCAAAAAAAAAAATATCGGCCGATATATCGGAATATCGGATTTTAAAACCCCAAAATATTTGTATCGGTATCGGCCTTCAAAATCCTTTATCGGTCGGGTTGTAGTTTTAAGATTTTACATTGTGGTCTGAGAATGGCATTATTAGGTGTCATTACCACAAAATTCGTTCAGAAATATTCCATTTCATTTTATTTGTTAACGAATTCAAAACTAATGTAACGGCTAGGCAGAACCCGTTTCTGTCTGCAAGCCCCAGGGCTTTTTTTGACACATTTTAATTTTATTTTACAATACATTGTAAAGATTCAGGGCGGATCCGATCATGGGGAATTTGCATATCATAATTAATAATTCATAATTAATAATTATTCATACAGGTTTGGATCCCCACTGAGCAAAGTGATGTCCAAAAGACGTCTTTTAAACGTCTTTGTCACAAAAGTCGGACGTTGAAAAGACGTCCACTGAGGGGCCGGAATGAACGTTTTTATGACGTCTTTTTGTGACGTGTTCTGGACGTCCGGTATAGACGTTAATGGGTCCTTCAGACAAGATTAAAAACTAGTTCAAATGTGGCCATTGTGGACATGTTTTCAACATAACTTATGGCCTCATTTAGACAATTTATACTGTTTCTGGACCAAATAAACACTCTCGGGATGCATTAAATTAAAACTCATGGTTATTTACATTGTTTAGATGTGGTTTAGATGGTGATATTTGTTACATTTTAAGTCACCATTGTGGTGATCAGTGTTTGCTTTAGTTGGGCTCTTGGTCCCAATTCTTCTTACTTTAGCTTTTCTTTGGCTGTTGTAACTGTTTGCATAACACCATTGATTGTGCAGAGAAAGCCAAGAAAATAAAAGATCATCTGTCTTCAGCTGCTTGTTGATGATGACAAAATCAACGCAATGCAAGAATTAAACAACATCTAAACTTCTGTTTTTATATCTGAAATAATTATTCACCTTTTAGAACTGCATTATTTGGACCAGTAACTTTAAAATGACCACTGTGCATAATATGTTTTAAGAAAGTGAATCACATAGTCACACACAAGATATCAAGATTTTGCATATGATTCTCAACGACGGTGACAACCAAAACAAAAAAGCCTGGGAATCGAGGATGTTTTGTACTATGAAAGCTACCCATCATGCATTGCAGCATGAAGCATTTTTTTTATTTATTGTCACCATTTTTGTGAATCATATGCAAAATCTTCATGTCTGTGTGTGACTCTATGGTAGATTTTCTCAAAACATTGAGTAAATTTGAAGAGTTCAGATGCAAAAGCCTCTAAATGCCATTTGAAATTTTCTTCTTTAATGATGATTTTTGTCAAACTTGTATATTTAAGTTCAGTAATTTCACTTAAATGGCAATGATAATTACCTATTAATTGTTATTTAAGTGAAATCACTGAACTTAAATATACAAGTTTGATAAAAATCATCATTAAAGAAGAAAATTTCAAATGGCATTTAGAGGCTTTTGCATCTGAACTCTTCATTTGCTTTTTGTCCAACTTCCATGCTATTAATGCAGTTCGACAACATTGGTGGTTATAAACTCCATATACAAACACAAAAGTCTAAACACAACGTTAAATGCCCACTTTATGTTGATTTCATCATCATCACCATCATCAACAACAACAAGGAGCTGATGAGAGTCAATTTTCTTGGCTTTTTCTGTCACAACAATGGTGTTATTCAAACACACAGTTACAACAGCCAAAGAAAAGCTAGAATACTATTTATTGGGACCAAGAGCCCAACTAAAGCAAACACTGATCACCACAATGGTGACTTAAAATGTAACAAATATCACCATCTAAACCACATCTAAACAATGTAAATAACCATGAGTTTTAATTTAATGCATCCCGAGAGTGTTTATTTGGTCCAGAAACAGTATAAATTGTCTAAATGAGGCCATAAGTTATGTTGAAAACATGTCCACAATGGCCACATTTGAACTAGTTTTTAATCTTGTCTGAAGGACCCATTAACGTCTATACCGGACGTCCAGAACACGTCAAAAAAAGACGTTATAAAAACTTTCATTCCGGCCCCTCAGTGGACGTCTTTTCAACGTCCGACTTTTGTGACAAAGACGGTGAAAAGACGTCTTTTGGACATCATTTTGCTCAGTGGGTCAGATCAGTCTTACATGTTATTAAATCTCCCGATAAGGGATGATGTGTTACTTTACCTGCATGCATGTATGTGTATCTTGCTAATTAACCACAGATTGTTTGCAATTAATTATAGATCACGTTTTATAAACAGGTAAAATTTAATTAGCTCAATCGTCAGAATAATATTTCACTTATGATCGACCCATCGGCTTGTCCCGCAAGCTTGATCATTCCATCTCCATCAAAACCCACAATATCATCCTACTTTATGGACTTTCAGGAGAAACCAATTTGTGGCCACAAGAATTAGTTTTCCTGTTCTATACAAATACTCTTTAAAGGATCTTTAATTTGGAAAGCTCGCAGCTTTGATCTAGGCATTTAAGGGACTGGAGTATGAGCAAAGATACAGTACATCAATCAAATAAATATAATGAATTTAATAAGGCAGAACTACTTATGCATTTACAGGAATACATGTATTTACAAACAATAGCACAAACGACAATAAACGCGGGGCGTGCCAGATGCAATGAAATAATATTCCTTTATGAGGTGGACATTCTCCACACATATCTGAGATATTTGGATTGGATCTGTTCAACTTTTCACGGGTTATGTATGTTCTCATTATCCAATTATATTGGATCTCTTTAATTTTTTCCAATTCATTTTCTGTAACATCCATGTGGAGATCATCAATCCGAGCCAGTCTTTGATGATTTGTCAAGCATCCCAATCATAAAGATTTTACCTTTATCATTGGGATTTTTAATAGAGCCACACCGATATATCGGCAGGCCATTATTATTCATTTTCCAAACTATCGGTATCGGCAGTTTTAATGGCCGATAAATGAATATTTCAAAAATAAAATAAAAATGGTCGAAACACGCTTGAACCATGTCATGAGTGTTGGAGTTGTGTGGTTTGTCCACCAGAGGGCACTCTACACAGTCCCTGTTGGCAACACTCGTTGAGTTGGTCACGATACATACATTGCTTGAATAACAATTAAAAGAACATCCCCATCAGTTCTCTTAACTCAAATAAGCAGGACAAAATTAGTGACTATCATGTCCAGTTTTGCTGCTGTTAAATAAGCCGAGAGTGAAGCGGGATTAGCTAGTAATAGTTACGTTACGTTGTTACAGTGTAGTTGACTGACTGTCCTTTTAACAATGTGACTGAAGTATTTCTTTAATGGCGTGTGATAGTCATAGCAATGAGACGTATCATATCTCCTTGGCCTCCTTAGGGCTCATCTTAGACTAGCTAACCATAAAGTTAGCTTGCCACTATCAGTCTGTTCTGTTGTGACAATAAAAGAAACAAGTTTCTTTTTAAAATGCATCGTCACATTATTTTTGTTAAAACTTATAAATAACTACAAATAACTAATGTTAGGGAAATCTGTTAATGTTTTGTTGCGCGTTTCTGAAATAATAAAAAAAAAAATATCGGCCGATATATCGGATTTAAAACCAAAAAATATTTGTATCGGTATCGGCCTTAAAAATCCTTTATCGGTCGGGCTCTAATTTTTAACTGCCATTTCTTCTAAACTCACTGATATGAATGAGTCTTAGATTGTATAAAAGTTAAAAAGGTTTGTGTCTTTCCCTCAAAATTTCATCATATTCTCTGCATTCGGGTCTGCTATTTCCTGAATGCCTTTCTGCCGCCTATCCAACATTTACTCCAAACAGTGAAAATGGCAGATATCTTCTAATGAAATTTGGAAGTATTTTTGACTCTTGAATACGTGATGTTTCCATTCAAGGCCCCAGTGAATGGCTGCAGGTGTGAGCCGCTCATTAATAAACTGGAGAACCAGCTCACGGCCACTAAAGAGGAAATGCAGTCCGAGATTCACACTGTACAAGAGCTCATGAACAGCAAGATGGGCCAACTGGACCGCAGGAACAAACACCAGGTGCATACAAATGTAACTTCACGGCTCGTAACTTCAATTGCTGATCACCTAATCTGCTGTGTCTGTTGTGTACGTGTTTATGCGGGATTGATAATGGTGTGTTGATTTTCAGATCCGAGCTCTGGATAAGATCACTTTAGAGAGAGTGTCCGCTGAGAGGACTGAATGTTTACATCGCATCGACAAGAGAGCCGTACAGGAACGCTTGGAAGGAGAAAAAAGACAGGTACGTTTTAAACGTTTTATGTTTTACATGCTTTAAAAACAGAGACAATTTCACTTACTGTAGATAAACCAAGACCATGTGCTCATCACTTTGAATGGGGGAAAGTGCAACTCAAAATATGTTGGGGATAGAAGGTCGTCTAAGTTCTGTAAACTCAGGCACACTTCTTCTGTCATATTCTGTTTTACGCTACTATAATAGAGGAGTATGCGGTTTCGGATGCAGCCATCGTGTTACTAGGTGCGTTTCCATTACAGATTTGCGCCAAACTTTTGCGATATTTTCCAAATGTCGATAAAAAACTATTGCGAAATGACGGTGTTTCCATTAACCGATGTTATGCGACTAAAACGTCTTTTAAGTCATAAGTCATTCTAAATATCATGGCAATGGACTTTGGTAGGTTTATAACCTATTTCACAGCCATGCACCGCACTAGACATTATTAGTATTAATGGAAGGAGACGTGGTGTGTTATCCAAGCATTAATAGCAGGGAAAGACACAGAGTTCCTGGTGTTTCTCCCTTATTTCTGCTTCGATGTCTTGATGGCATTTCTTTGAGGTTTAGAGAGGCTATTCCTGTAATTATTGTTTCTTTTTTTTAAATGAATTTAATAAAGAACTCTATCTCGTATTATGTCCAAACGGTCGTTGCAAAACGAAAAATGAACGGTTGTTGTATTTTTAAAATGCAAAGTTGAACACCAACATTTTAGTTTGACCACACCAATGCTGCGCTATATAGCCTACATCTCAACGAAATTTCAGATATTTGTTTGACTTTTTGCCCCCTTTAAAACATTTAAAATATTCACAAATTAATATGGGAAAAAAATGTAGATTTTACTGGTTTTCTAAGGCTAAATTAGAACATGGATATTTCTGATATTTTTCCCGCAGTGCTGTAGCTATAGGTGAGTTATTATAAATGCGTCTGAAAAAATAACGAGCTAAAAACATGGATGCACCTTTAGAGAGAACGGCACCTTTCATACGGATTACATAATCAGAAGGTATTAGTTTACGATTCGAATTTGTTATTTTTAAAGTGGACATTTCAAGCTTTAGTCTATAAAGGCTATTGGTTCAGTTCTCGCGCTCCAGTTCACGAAGATCATAAAGCGCGCCTGATTGTTTTATGTTATTTTACAAAAGCACAACGTTTTCTTGTTATTGTGACATTACACAAATAAAAGTAGTCGTGAATAATGTATTATTATTTTCTGTATAACCAGAAATGCTAGAGTATTTTAAGTTGATTCCACTGTTGATGGGAAAATGAAAGTGTTCACGGCGCGTGTGCACGTCAAACTCCGCACACACTCTTGGATATTGGTCAAAATCGAGTGTTTATTTGTGATAATCTTAGCCCTATTATTATCATTGTCCAACCTGTACTATGAATGAGATGTGACGAATTGCTTTGTTCCTTTTTTGGATAAAAGCGTCTTCTACATATGTAGCCTAATAAATGTTATAATAGGCTAATGATGATAATTATTATTATTATTTGTGGACACGGACCTAAAACACACTCCGTCTTCTAAGTCAGGTGACTGTAAATGCGCAAAATCCGTTTCCATTGCAGTTTTGCGAAAAAATCCTTTTTCGAATTGCCTGAAAAACCTCCTCATGCGAGTTTTCGCGAAATTGCCGTGTTTCCATTGAGCGTATTTTCATTTCGCAATTTCAATTTGCGCAAATTGAAGAGTAATGGAAAAACGCAGCTACTGCAGCGGCCATTAACAGCCTGAGATGTGTGTTTAATGACAGCGTCAAGCAGGAACACAGACTTTGAGAAACATCAATTATGGGCCAATTCATGTCAGATTTTGTTGCTGATTAAAAACGTTATTTAATTATGAGTTTGGCGAGCGTTTTTTGAGATTTCAGGATTCCCGTAGACAGGAATGCCTGAAACAGCGGCGTTGAGTGAACACACTTTCCTTTAACGGGACTTTGATTAGAATGCATTTTGTGTTGGTCTAGATGTAAAAGGAACAATATCTGGCTTATCTGGTTTAGGGTTTAGCGATACATCTTATAATCTGGAGATTTTTCTGCCCTGTAATGATATTTGATGTAAATTTCAGATATCTGTGCAGATTAGTTTGATTGAATGAACTCTTATGGATTCTAGTTTTCATCGTGATGTGTATTCTTGTCATTCGGGCTAATCTTTGGATCATTTATTCCACGTCTCTCTTTGTAAGCAGGCTTCAGTGGTCAACGATATCAAGAACTGGTGCCTTTCTAAGATCCAGAGTTTGGAGACGCGTCTCTCTGGCGATCGCTGCGACTCCAAGTTGCGGCGCTCCTCATCCCTCACTGACACGCTTTCGGATTGGGATCCCCATTCCCACACAGCTGTCCCAGACACATCTGGGGGCGGAGCATGTTACTCTCCGTCAGCAAACCAGCCCGAGCCGAGAGATGGAGCGGCGAACACGTGTCCTGAGGACGGACCTGCCAGTTACTATGTGATCGAGGTGGACGTCTCTCCGGGTAGGACACTTACTCGGGACTGCGTGGATGAATGAACAATCACACACACACACTCAACTGTTTTCTTTCGCTTTTACAGAGGCAGATGAGCAACACAGATTTTCTGGCTCATCTCACGTAGCGAGAGAGCTACATGAAGCATTAATGGTTTTCCTGTGTTTGTCCTCATTCAGTTAAAGGCTTATGTAAGTGTTATATAATACAAATATGATGTGATCTAGGGTTATTATGAGTAAAATATACAACACTGAGATTATTATTTACACTCAACACATATGGAAGGATATAGCAGACAATACTATTTAATGAATCATTGTAATTTTTTTATTATACATATAAATACATCAACATCGGTTGCAAATGAGTTCTTTCGTGTCTCTCGTATCACACTGTAGACGGATGTGCTCGCTCTCGTTTCATTCTGACACGGCTGCTCATTATACTTTATAAAGTAAAAAAAAGACATTTGCAACAGATTTTGATGTATTTATATGTATAATAATTTTTTTTTACAAATATATATGAAGAGTTCAGATGCAAAAGCCTCTAAGTGCCATTTGAAATTTTCTTTTAGAATGATCATTTTTATCAAGCTTATATATTTAAGTTCAGTAATTTCACTTAAATGACAATTAATAGGTAATCTTCATTGCCATTTAAGTGATATCACTGAACTTAAATATATCTTAAACTCTGTCATGCAAACTATTTATAAACATTAATCAATAATCAAGAAAAAAAGAAATGTATGATATTACGCTGTAGCCACATTGCACCCTTCGGTTTGCAAAATGGATGGATGAATCAACTATGGCGCCATCTTCTGGTCAGATGCGGGAATTCATTTACTGCTGAGCGTACATCGGTTGTTCGCTCGTTATTGCAGTGCATTGTGGGATTAACTGATTGCACTCGATAACGTTCAATATGGTTTGACCCCTCAAATAATGCCCTATTTATTTGTTAGTTTGTCTAGGCTCTTTTTCCTTGAGGAAGCTTTGCGTTTAAATGAGCTAATCAAATTTTAACTTGTCTATATTTTGTTCAATTATGTACTCATTTTGTAAGTAGCCATGTAATAAGCAGGCTAATGTGCATCCAACAGATTGTTCTCGCATAATAAACCCCTTTATGGTGATACAAGTCCATCCGTTTCACACAAATCAAAAAACAACCGATTCGAAAAGAAAGCATTGAGCCAGTTCTAAATGGCAGAGTTTTCCGAGGGTTGTTGTTCGGTTCTTTTTGAGTCGGACATAATCAAAGCTGCCTGTAGGTTTTATTCTTTCATTTTGAGTGAACCACTTTCAGTCCAATAACTGATATGGAATGCTAATTGCTCATTTGGTGCTTCTTCCGTTGTGCGCCTTGTGTCATCAGCCCAGAACTAACGTAGAAGAATTGAACATCACTACTTCACACTGGGGCCCTATCGCCCTGCCTTGTGATAACAACTCGCCGGATGTACATTTACTTCACCACAATTCCCAGACAGCAACATAGTGTCGGCCCAGATCCACCATCCACCATCCACCAGTAGCAGATGTGGGCCGACACTAGGGATCAGGGGTGGGGTTAGGGATCAGGGGGCAGAGATGTGTAGGATTAGGGGTGGAGTTAGGGATCCGGAGGCAGAGATGTGTAGGATTAGGGGTGGGGTTAGGGATCAGGGGGCAGAGATGAGTAGGATTAGGGGTGGGGTTAGGGATCAGGAGGCAGAGATGTGTAGGATTAGGGGTGGAGTTAGGGATCCGGAGGCAGAGATGTGTAGGATTAGGGGTGGGGTTAGGGATCAGGGGGCAGAGAGGAGTAGGATTAGGGGTGGGGTTAGGGATCAGGAGGCAGAGATGTGTAGGATTAGGGGTGGGGTTAGGGATCAGGAGGCAGAGATGTGTAGGATTAGGGGTGGGGTTAGGGATCAGGGGCAGAGAGGAGTAGGATTAGGGGTGGGGTTAGGGATCAGGAGGCAGAGATGTGTAGGATTAGGGGTGGGGTTAGGGATCAGGGGGCAGAGAGGAGTAGGATTAGGGTGGGGTTAGGGATCAGGGGCAGAGAGGAGTAGGATTAGGGGTGGAGTTAGGGATCAGGAGGCAGAGATGTGTAGGATTAGGGGTGGGGTTAGGGGTCAGGGGGCAGAGAGGAGTAGGATTAGGGGTGGAGTTAGGGATCAGGAGGCAGAGATGTGTAGGATTAGGGGTGGGGTTAGGGATCAGGGGGCAGAGAGGAGTAGGATTAGGGGTGGGGTTAGGGATCAGGGGGCAGAGAGGAGTAGGATTAGGGGTGGGGGTAGGGATCAGTGGGCGGAGATGGGTAGAATTAGGAGTGGGGTTAGGGAATAGGGGTGGGATTAGGGATCAGGAGGTGGAGATGGGTAGGATTAGGGGTGGGGTTAGGGATCAGGGGTGGAGATGTGTAGGATTAGGGGTGGGGTTAGGGAATAGGGTTGGGTTTAGGGATCAGGGGTGGAGATGGGTAGGATTAGGGGTGGGGTTAGGGAATGGGGTGAGATTTGGGATCAGGAGGCAGAGATGGGTAGGATTAGGGGTGGGGTTAGGGATCAGGAGGCAGAGATGGGTAGGATTAGGGGTGGGGTTAGGGATCCGGGGGGCGGAGATGGGTAGGATTAGGGGTGGGGTTAGGGATCGGGGGTGGAGATGGGTAGGATTAGGGGTGGGGGTAGGGAATAGGGTTGGGTTTAGGGATCAGGGGTGGAGATGGGTAGGATTAGGGGTGGGGGTAGGGATCAGTGGGCGGAGATGGGTAGGATAAGGAGTGGGTTAGGGAATGGGGTGAGATTTGGGATCAGGAGGCGGAGATGGGTAGGATTAGGGGTGGGGTTAGGGATCAGGAGGCAGAGATGGGTAGGATTAGGGGTGGGGTTAGGGATCGGGGGGCGGAGATGGGTAGGATTAGGGGTGGGGTTAGGGATCGGGGTGGAGATGGGTAGGATTAGGGGTGGGGTAGGGATCAGTGGGCGGAGATGGGTAGGATTAGGGGTGGGGTTAGGGAATAGGGTTGGGGTTAGGGATCAGGGGGCGGAGATAGGTGGGATTAGGGGTGGGGTTAGGATCAGGGGGTGGAGATGTGTAGGATTAGGCGTGGGGTTAGGGATACAGAGGTGGAGATTGGTAGGATTAGGGGTGGGGTTAGGGATCAGGGGGCCGGAGATGTGTAGGATTAGGGGTGGGGATAGGGATACAGAGGTGGAGATTGGTAGGATTAGGAGTGGGGTTAGGGATCAGGAGGAGGAGATGGGTGGGATTAGGGGTGGGGTTAGACGGAGATGGGTAGTTTTAGAAATATGTAAGGTGGGAGGAGTTGGATCTGGATCCAACTCCTCCCCCTGGATTTCATGTTCTGCAGTGAGGACCATCTCCTTGCATTGGCACAACAAAACATTGTTTCTGCCGCGACTTTTAGCTTGTTCAACGTAAAGGCCAATCAACGTCTGACTTTTACATTTTATGTGGCCTTAGAAAGTCACATAAACCACATGAAACTCTGTCAGACTGAAACGGATTTCCAGAAATGCGATTTGAATAGGATTTCAAACCATATATGAATGCAGCTTGAAACAGATTTGTAAAAATGTTCGCATTTTGTCATTTTTTGCTGTTCACATTAGCCAATTCTGATTGAATTTCAATTGGTTATGCAGAAAAATCAGATTTTAACTGACAGTCTGAACGTAGCCTATGTATGTTGCTGTCTGGGTTGCAGCTGGTGCTAGTGTCAATGTGCATGTTACATATTACAGGACAAAATCTTCTTTTTTTTTCAGATAAGCAGTTGTCACAAAATCAATCTGCGCCCCAGTCTCCTTGTATAGTCCGGCCTAAACAGCGATCTCGGGCCTGTAGTGACCCTCATCGAATGCAAGATGAGCCTCGGGACTCGAGTCTGGAGCCGGGACGCGTCCCAGATCAGGACTGTGAGCAGAAATGTGCGCTCGAGCACAAGAACCTCAAAAGACGCACCCAACATAAAGCAAAGACCAAACCAAACACACAAGCCTTGGCGAGTTCAGGAGAGCAGCGCGCCACCGAGGCTTCCTTCGCCCAGGAGCGGGAGAACATGCACGCGCTGGAGGTCACACAGTACTTCTTTGAGGCGGTGACCCTGCAGATGGAGCGCTGGTATGAGCGGAAGATCGAGGAAGCAAGATGGCGAGCCAACCAGAGGGCCGAAGTCGACAGAGCCGCCCTGCTGGACAGAATAAGCTACCTTGAGGATGAACTAAGACTGCTGAGAACTAGCAAACAGGAGGAGAGCTAGTGTAGAAGAAGCCACTGGTGTAGCAGACACTGTAACTCACGAGGTTCCCGATGGATTAGTGAGTTTCGATAGAGCAGCTAACACATGTAGATAACACTGAAGTAACAAAGCATCTGAACAGAGTTTGAGCCGAAACATACTCTACGCAAGTGCTTGAATGCAAACGTGTGCTGAAATTTGCCAGAACACAATTCATAAAGAAGGGCAAGTAGCAATGCATTCTCAGTGCTGCCACAAGGAGTGCCATAGAGCGCAACAGTTGGATTATGGAAGTAAAAATCCAATTTTTTAACAATATCTTATTAACCTTTAAAGAAGGACCTACTGCGAGATACAAGGTTGTTAATTGTTATTATAATGTGAACGGATGGCTTCAACAAAAGCATATTTCAACTTATTTTTAAAATACTTGTTTAACAGGTGAAGACATTTCTCATTATGCTGTCCTAAAAATTCCACCAATAAGAGTTTACAGTGCACTACTACCATGATGCACTGCAAATGACTGTAATCCAGTCAGTCTCATGATGCTGTCAATATACTTAAGTCCCAATGAAATCAAAATTTATATATAGATTTTTACAGAATGTTGCAGTTTATTATAAATAGTTGATCCCTGCATATCATTATTATTTAAATACTAATGCCCTCGTCATCTTTAATCAAAAATATTAACCTCCTCGAGACGGCGTATGGGTCTCGTAAATATCCTTCACGATTGACTGCAAACTGGCTCTCAGATATGCCTCCGTATTTAGTAAGCAATGCCCAATTTCCTAAAATCCACGCAATTCCCCAAGGGCGAAAGTCTCGCCCTACTTTTTTCTCATTCCCATTTTCACTCGGATATCAGTCACAATAGGGACGAAATACTATCGTTGGTTTCATATTGACTTTTAGTATTTGTGTGTCTATATATATATGCATATTTTGCAATAAACTTTATATATAGATATTCATCAACAACTTTAAACGAGTAGTTATGTCCCCATTGTTTGTAATTTGATTTGACATTCGCAATGCTTCATGGGATTGTAGTTCCTTTATTCATTAAAGCTATACAGTCTTATCGTTTTGTCCAATTTTCTAATAACTTTTTGCTTCAAATCAAAGTTTGTACTGTTGTGATTCACCTTGTAGCTAATTGGCTTTGGTTCATGGCTTTAGCAAAGACTTTTTTTTTTAATAATGGAAAAAATACTTCCAGAACCAACACCACTGATAAAGTATAGAAAGCCTTATAGCATAAAACTCTCTTCTCGGGTTTGTTGAATGAAAAGCAAGAGCAAAGTTGCCATGCTTTCAAAGCCCTGTTCAAGACTTTGCGCCTGCATTTGTGCACTTGCATAGATTATGTGTCTGGCTTTACAGTCATAATATTTTACCTCTTTCATAAAGCTCTTTGGTTTCTAAGCCACACAGACACTTCTGTTTCAATGTGAATTGAAATTCAAAGGATAAAAACTTTAAATATACGGTATAATGTTTCCTTGATTATATAACAGAAAAGAATTAAGAATTGTGCATGAGCGCAATAACGAATAATACTCAAATTTGGTGAATAGGAAGATTACTAAATTAAATTATGCCGCTATTTTTTTTTTGTTGCCAGATCATATAAAATCAGTGAACAATGGAACAATGATGAAATAAGAGTAACAAAATCACCGTGATAAAAACAAGTATTAGTTTGTGTAATGTCTTTGTACATCGACTTTCTTGCACAAAATGAAAGGTCTTAACCTGTGATGTTTCATTTCCATGTAGTCTGTAGTGAAAGTCTTAAAAACACATGATGAATTAAGTGTTTGCAACCTTATTTTAAGTGTTCGTTCCTTTGCCAATATTGGTAGATAAATAATATAATTTTTAAAAAGTTTTTTTTAATCATTCAAAATTCAGCACACATGGGTAGGGGAGAAACTCTGTCCCTTTCTATGGTAACATGTTTTGTGTTGGCGACGGCTACAAAATTCAAAACCCTGACACTGTACACCAATCAATCACTTGAGTGCCATTTCATGTGGACTTTACAGATTCACAAACGTTGACTGACTCCATCATCACCACCATTGATCAAGACACGTCCCCTCTATGAAGACTGAACCTAACCTGTAGATCGTTGTTGTTAGCACTGTTAAAAAGCATCAGAAACTGCCAGTGGCCAATGCGGTTGATTGTGAACCATGTACTCTAAAAACTAATATGTAATGTACACACTTTTTGATATATGTTATAACTATAATTGTTTACAGCTGCTTCAAAGGGAAAGACGTTTGTCATACAGCTGTATGATCAAAAATGAATGTTTAATAAACTACATCCATGTAAATTTGTAGACAAAAAACATCTGGAATCAGATTGATGGGCCATAAAGGCCAATTTTTGTCTAAATTATACAGTACATGCACTTCTTTCCACTTTCCTTTGAGTGGTTTCCCAGACAGCAAACTGACATTGAATCAACGTGGAAACGACGTCTCTCGTGACATTGAAACAACGTTGATTTTGCTCATCGAATTAACGTTGAACCAACGTCAGACGCGGCATTCTTCAAAGCTAAATGAAAATCGAAAATTGGTTTGCTTTCATAACGTTGAAACAACGCGTTGATTTCAAGTTGATTTTCCGTTAGTTTTGAAAGAATGACGCGTCTGACGTTGTTTCAACGTTAATTCGATGAGCAAAACAATGTCAGATCAACGTTGTTTCGATGTCATGTTTCTACGTTGATTCAATGTCAGTTTGCTATCTGGGTTATATACAAGAAAAACGGCTAACAGTTTGGCTAACAGTTTGCACGTTTCCACCAGTTAGACGACACCTCGCCGCTTCTCCGCAGGGATCGTGTTCATCGCTGCTAATGGAAGGGGTTCCTCTTGTAAACCGCTCCGGGTTATTTGAGGGACATGACGATTAGCAGAGATTTACGGTGTTCCACATTTTTGGTGCGCTCGTCATGATGGGTTAAGTGCAGCTTTGACGGGGTCGTGCCCTGACAGGTATTTCCCAGGAACGGTTTCAGATCTGCGAGGAATGTTTATTGATGCTCAATGTAGTTTTTCTGGGATTATAATCCAGATGTCACGGGTGTGTTTGTTCTGTAATTACGCAGGATTTCAACTACACACTAATTGATTACGACTCACTTGGGCTTTTATTAAGATTTGGCAAATGAAGAGTAGTAATCGTGCATTATAAATATACAAGTAGATATATACAGTTTTCGTCTCATTTTATAGTGTACTTTTTGTTAAAGGGATAGTTCAACCAAAAAAAGAAAATTTAGTCATTTACTCACATTCATATTGTTCCAAATCCAAGATTTCCATTAATTCCACCATTAATAACAGCGACACTTCAAACGTTCATGGACACAATTGCTTTAAATAATGAACAGATTTATATCATGCAAGTACGGTTATTCTGTAGACCATTTTTGACTATGTTCATATGAATAACAGCCTGAATTATATCTGTTCCTCATGTGAAGCGATCACGTCTCTCCAGAAGACTTGGATTGAGCACCTCGATTACCGTCACGTTTAAAAGCGTGAAAGTTTTGGTTCAATGGAAGGACCAAAAGCAAGAGAGATTATTAAAACTACCTTAATTTGTGTTGCGATGATGAACAAAAGTCTCATTGGTGACAATGACAGAGTTTTCCGTTTTTGGCGAACTATCCGTTGTCATTCCCGTGCTTGATCTTCTAGCATCCAGCCAGCGCGAGCGATTTCCTCAAGTCCTCCAGATGATTCTGAGCCTGAGTGATCATCATGCGAACCACATCCTGAGGAGCAAAACCACACAATATTAACTCGGGGATGTTGGAAGTCAAACTTTTGCCAGCAAACTGACATCATTTTCTATGAGCTGGTGATTCCCGGCTACATTTGCGACAGCCGTTGGCGATGGGATAAAGTTGAGTTCACTTCAGAAGGAGCGAACTGATCTCCTGTCAGCTTAAGTTTGGACCAAGGAAGACATTTGTTCAATATAATCGTTAAATCTGGGTCATAAATGCTTGTTTTATTTGGCTTAAATGTTGTTTTGAATTGTCTTAAAAGGATAGTTCACCCAAAAATGAAACTTTGCTGTTAATTTCCTCATTACTAATCATGTGACAGGAAGCTTGTGCTCCAGACTGTCGTGATCGCGGGACTGTTTGCTGAGGCTGTATGAAGGATAAAAATAAAAAATAAAAATCGCACTTTTAACGTTTGTGAAAAGTGTACATTGGATTGCACGTGTAAATTAAAGGATTAGTTCACTTTTGAAAACTTTTGCTGATAATTTGCTCGCCCCCATGTCATCCAAGATGTCCATGTCTTTCTTTCTTCAGTCGAAAAGAAATGAAGGTTTTTGATGAAAACATTCCAGGATTTTCTCCATATAATGGACTTCAATGGGAACCAAACGGTTCAAGGTCCAAAAAAAAGTCATTTTTCCGAGTCATTTGGTTCATTCGGCAAAAGAAACGAACGAATTGATTCGGAAAAAGATTTGTTCATTTTGATTAACGAGTTCGAACAGGAGAGTCACGATGCGCGTGCATCACAGAACAGAGCAAGGCGAGCGTTTGATCTTATCAAACTTAAAAATGGTTATTTTTCACAAAAAAATTAGCGATCGTTTCGCTTGATAAGACCCTTATTCATCGCCTGGTGTCGTTTAAAGCCCTTTGAACAAGTTTGTAGTTTGTACTGAAACTCTCATTTGGACCTTGAACCGTTTGGTTCCCATTGAAGTCCATTATATGGAGAAAATCCTGGAACGTTTTCGACTGAAGAACGAAAGACATGGACATCTTGGATGACATGGGGGTGAGTAAATTATCAGCAGTTTTTAAGTTTTTTGAAAAGTGAACTAATTCTTTAAATTTGCATGTGCAAGAGAAGCTTAGTAAAGGTGTAAATCACCCTTCAAGTGTGAGAAAATAATATTTGCAGAATTTACTGTTCTTCATAAGAGTAAATCATGTCTCGTGAAGCTGCAGCCTCGTGCTGACGCAACATGAAAATGATCTGTATTCTTCTCACTTCCATTTTACACGTTTTTTTCCCCGCCAAAATACGTCTAAAAGCACAGCAGGCCTGTGAACAGCTATTTCCAAGCAAAAACCACAGAGGCAGGAACCACAAAACTGATTGATCGCGTAAAACAAACCTTTGTGTGAAAATATAACTGTTCCCGAAATAACCCGATTTGTACAATTGCGTCTTTCTTTTAGCGGCGTTTCCAGAGTTTCGCAACGCAAGCACGAAGAAAAGGGCGAGTCCACCTTCATAATGTAGCCAATCAGGTCAGCTTCTCGCTGACTCCTATCCGATTGGTTCAATTAACTGGTCCTGTCGCCAGAACACATCTTTATCTTCATCTAGCTCAGCATCGCTCTCAGTGCTGAAATTGTACTTTTATTGCACAAATACATGCTGAATGAATGAATAGATAAATACATTTTCCAACTTTGACATCAATTACAAATTTAAAAAACGCACGTTCGACCAACAAAACACGAGACAATCGCTCTCTGAGGCAACTTTATTCCCAACTCAGATAAAAGATTTGTTCAAACAGAATCAATCGTTCATGACTGATAATCCCTGTAATGGATGACCTCTAGAGACACTAGTCACTTCAAATGATGGTATGGTGCAAGAAAACGTCTCGGTTACGTATGGTAACGCTTGTTTCCTGAATAAAGGAACGGAGACGTTAGAGTTAGACGCTACCAGCCATTCGACGCTCTCACGGCGCACATTTCCAGCTGGAAAAACAGTGGGGTTTTTTGCTATTTACAGAAAACAACGACGTACGCCGAGAGTGACCGGCTGATAGGGAACTCGACTAGCACTTTGGTGAATCACAGAGGAGAATTTGTGTGTGTGTGTGAGGTCACCTGGTCTGTTTCGCTCTTGTTCCTCTTGAACTCTTCTCTAGCCCAGTCTCTCAGGTATCTGCGATCGGACTCCAGTGGGATTTTGCGGATGTTTCGGAGCAGATCTCTGTACACACCCAGAACCTTCTGTCTCTGCATGAACTGACAACACCACCGTCATTTTATCATCATTGAAATATCATGCGAACAGATGATACACTTATAATTCAATAAGTATTGAGCAATTCAGTAAATTAACGCTGGATAATAACTTGTCAATGGTGGGGAAAGTTTAGGGTCATTTCAATCATTTGAGCATCTGCTCATAAGTTTAAAAATAAAACACAAATCAGACACAAAACCTAAGTAAAGAAAATGGTATTAAGTTCATTATAAAGAGACCCTGACTGCAATTAACAAATTATTATACATTCAAAAGTTGTTAAGAGTTTGATGATACTTTTTTTTGTCATAGATATCTTGTCATCATAGCAGTTAAAGTCATTTAGAATTGTATTGTACGTGATTTGTACAATAATTATACTCTTACATATTCAATATTATAAATACGATGAGAAAAATATATATTTTATTACATAAAGGATAAATGCAAAATCCGATTCGGTTTCTGAGGCAGATCATTTGGATAGATCTAACCAAAAATAATTCATAAGGGTCATTCAAATAAAAAATGATGATCAACTCAAGATTTATTGGTTTAACACAGTTTTTAAAACATCATTACCAAATCAATGTGATATCGTTAGTAGTGTAAATATTTTATGTAAATTCTGAAGTGTATTGAATTTCTCTAACTTTGTTGGGGACACAAAACGTATGTATAATACAAAAATACATCAAATATATTATTAATGGTAAGCGCATTATAATGGTAAGATCAAACTAATATATTATATGCAATCCCCAAAATATTTTTGTTCTGGGTGGCTAATTCGCTTTCTTGAGAGAAAAACATTATCTAACTTCTGTGTGTTTGCATGTCACATAAGTGTCTCTGGTCGTCGCGCTGATCGCGGATCTCCTGGTGCTGGACGCGGGTGTTTAACGGCCGTGGTGAGTGACTGTACCTGTTTGAGACTCAGTGCAGCGCCTGGTAACCGAGACACGGCCATGTCGAAGAGCAGAGACACACACAAACACACACACAGAAGCTGCGGGGTTTGTTTTGGTCAGAACCAGTGACGTCACGATCTTCTTCTTCTTCTTCTTCCGTGTTTAATGGCGGATTAGCTGTCTCTTTGTATAGCCAGAGCGCCACCTACATGAACAACATCTAACTGTCAAGAAGCGTAATTTAATATAAGAAAGCTTCAGATATTAACTGTACACAATATAAAATACATTCTCCATGAGGAATTGTTTTTATATATTCTAATCTCATTTATGCAAGTTAATTTTTTTTCTGCAGATTGTCAGATTCCCAGCGAACCTTTTCACGTTTTTTGGTTTTAGCTTATTATATTATGTATTAACAACATAATGATTTTGTATTACGTATTATTAAATAATATATTTAATGTTTACTCTTTTTTGTCAATTACTTTTGACTTTTAGGGTCATGTTACATTTATTTGTACATTAAACAGAACAGAACGCATGTGATTGAAGCTGTTGATGATGACAAGGTCATTAACTACCATAAGTAGAGTTGATTCTGTGCTATGACCTGATCTAAAACCAGATTGAAATTGATCAAAAACATAATTTTTTGTTAAAAATTATGTAAGCTGATTAAAAACTATTTTTTTCGAATATTTTGGATAAGAATGGTAGTTTAGATATTGGCCGAAAATGATTTGGATCTGTAGGATCTAGGCCAGGCTTTGTAAGAAGAGGCTGGACAACTGCATGTTTAAGACTTGAAGCAACACACCCATTAGTCAGACTGCAATTTATAATAGAGAGAACATTGGTCCAATCATATCTATGAGCTTGACAAACAACTTGGGGTGGAAGCACATCATTAAACAAGGAAGTAGGGTTTAAATGTGCAACAACATCTCTAATAGATGAGTGAAACTGGCTCATATTGAGATCACTTTTGAGACATAGAGATTAATATAGAAGTTATATCAACTTGAGATGGTGTAATTGTCCTTTATTAAAATCTTTAAGAACATGTCACAAGTATTTGGTGATGGATCAGGGCCAATGCTACATTCTGGCTTAATAATAGTATTTGAAGAGTTCAGATGCAAAAGCCTCTATATGCCATTTGAAATTTTCATCTTTAATGATGATTTTTATCAAACTTGTATATTTAAGTTCAGTAATTTCACTTAAATAACAATTAATAGGTAATTATCATTGCCATTTAAGTGACATTACTGAACTTAAATATACAAGTTTGATAAAAATCATCATTAAAGAAGAAAATTTCAAATGGCATTTAGAGGCTTTTGCATCTGAACTCTTCATTTATAGTTTGAAATAGTATCTGTTTTGTGCAATTTTCATTAAAAAAATATTCTTCACTTGACGTTTTCACCGCTTTTTCATATTTGCATGAACACTCTCTTAAGGCCTCATAAGAAATCCGAAGGCTATCTTTTTGCCATTTCCGTTCTGCTCTCCGACACTCCCGTCTGTAACTGAGTATTTTCATTTAACCATGGCAGAGTTTTTGTTTTATATCTCCTTAATTTGTATGGGGCAACATGGTCAAGTATATCAGAACAAGCATCATTAAACAAATGTATCAACTCTTCGGGATCCACTGAAAAAGATGGAGATTCAACAGTGCCAATTAGTGAATGAGTTACAAAATGCTGATGAAAAAAATCACTGACTGTGTTAGATGTGATCGCATGAGAGTGGCTGTTTTTCCAGGGGGGGGCACAAAGTAGGGTGATATTAAAAACAACAGGCTTATGGTCAGAAAAAAAAAAATAAAAAATAAAAAATCTGTATGTTACACACAGAAATACCCAAACAAAGGACCAAATCAAGAGTGTGACCATACTGATGAGTGGGGCAAGTTACACATTGTAAAAAATCAAATTAATCAATAACTCTGTGACTAAAGGCTTCGATTGACAGCAAACATGAATGGTAAAATAACCAAAGATTACAAAGTTGTCAAAAGAAGTGACAGTCACAGATAAAAAGTCTGAAAACTCCTGTATAAAGTCTATTATATCTGCGAGGTCTATATACAAGAACACATAATACAGGACTAGGCAGAACAATTAAACATGACTGCACCTCAAAACTCTGGTAACTCTCAGCAGGGATTAATCGACATTTTTCAACTATTCCTCCACCTCTACCTATAGTTCTCTGTTAAAAAAGTTGCAAAAGTTCAGAGAAGTTCAAAGTTCGGCTCTTTTCCCACGCTTCCTGCTGCTATGGCGTTTTCTTCTATGACGCACAACCGAGCGCCACATATTAGCCAGTATATCCGACGTGAATTGTGGAGTGGTATACCATTCTCCTCCAGAGTCCCGCATACTTTGTTCCATGACTGTTGTCTGAATACTGAGCAAAGTATAACGATCGAGCAACTGTCCCACTCAATTTAGGAAAACTAAATTTCTTTAGCCGGAAAAGAGCAGAATTGGACGTTTCCGGCAAAGAAATTTGGACAATCAGCATTTTCATTTTCAGCGGATGAAGAGTGGAACCGAATTCCACATTACATTAGAGATTGTGCAAGCCTTAGCCGTTTTAAAATGTTGGTTAAGACTTGGCTGAAAGTGAATCAAATATGTGATCATTGATTCTTTTATATATTGTGTAGTTGTATTTTTTATTTTTATTTCTTTGTGTGTATTGTGTGCTTGTACAGCTAACTCTGGTACAGGACTTGAACTGTGCATGGTCCCTGACAAATACACACAAAAAAAAAAATCATATACTATGCAAGAACAGACAATAAATGTAATAAAATACATACATAGTAATAAAAGATAAATAAGAGCTATTGAGCGGCCAGAGCAACGGCATGCCGACAGGAAAACAGACGCCATTTTGCTGGCGAGCTTTATGACATGGTGCATTATCCTGCTGGAAGTAGCCATCACAGGATGGGGACATGGTGGCCATAAAGGGATGGACATGGTCAGAAACAATGCTCAGGTAGGCCGTGGCATTTAAACGATGCCCAATTGGCACTAAAGTGTGCCAAGAAAACATCCCCCACACCATTACACCACCACCACCAGCCTGCACAGTGGTAACAAGGCATGATGGATCCATGTTCTCATTCTGTTTACGCCAAATTCTGACTCTACCATCTGAAATCCAGACTCATCAGACCAGGCAACATTTTTCCAGTCTTCAACTGTCCAATTTTGGTGAGCTCTTGCAAATTGTCGCCTCTTTGTCCAATTTGTAGTGGAGATGAGTGGTACCCGGTGGGGTCTTCTGCTGTTGTAGCCCATCCGGCTCAAGGTTGTGTGTGTTGTGTCTTCTTCACAAATGCTTTGCTGCATACCTCGGTTGTAACGAGTGGTTATTTCAGTCAAAGTTGCTCTTCTATCAGCTTGAATCAGTCGGCCCATTCACCTCTGACCTCTCGCATCAACAAGGCATTTTCTCCCACAGGACTGCCGCATACTGGATGTTTTTCCCTTTTCACACCATTCTTTGTAAACCCTAGAAATGGTTGTGTGTGAAAATCCCAGTAACTGAGCAGATTGTGAAATACTCTGACACCAACAACCATGCCACGCTCAAAATTGCTTAAATCGCCTTTCTTTCCCATTCTGACATTCAGTTTGGAGTTCAGGAGATTGTCTTGACCAGGACCACACCCCTAAATACATTGAAGCAGCTGCCATGTGATTGGTTGATTAGATAATTGCATTAATCAGGTGTTCCTTATAATCTTTTAGGTGAGTGTATATCACACACACACACAATACTGTGGGCGAGGGGTGCGTGGAGAACTTTACAATCTTCAAGGAAGGTTACACACAGTTTCCCCTCGCACTGTTCACTCTCACTCAACACGCAGATGAATCGCTGCAGTCAGGCTGTGTGTGTCCGGAGGCCTGCGTGTGTCCACATAGCCTGAAATAACAGCACAATTCCTCATATGACTCAAATGATATTTATTGATTATTATTCACATGATCACATTTATCACATGAGGTCTGAGACATTGGGGTTTTTCTTTAAACCTTTTTTAATCTAAAATAATAAAACCACAACATTTTTGTCAGTATATGTACATCCACATGTCTGCTAATTACTAGAAATATGTGTTTTGCCCAACTTACTGCATATCTGTGCTGTTGTTCTGATGAAAAGGATTCACTCTTCTGAACTCTGGCCATCTTCAGCTGAGATATTCCCAATCCGCACTTCCATCATAGTAGTGAGCAGCACAGAGTGATCTACACGAAACCAAACACAAGACACCCGTTGAAGAGACTTGAGTGATACATGTTCTTATATATCAGCTGATATAACATGTGCCCAGTGGACATCATGTCATCACAGCCGTTCCCCGAACAAGAGGAGGGCTTTCTGTTGCAAAGGCCACGTCTGTATTATAGTATTGCCCTCTCGACTGTCCTCACACACACACACACACTCACGTGTCGCTGTCCTCAGACTGGTAGGTGAGGTCAGACGCTGCTGCTGTTGATTCCTCTGTGCAGCTCGAGCCGCTCTCCTCCATCTCACCATCTTCCTCTTTAACACGCGGCCTCTTGTTTTTTGGAGAACACGTTTCATCGAGGCCGGGACCCGGATGCTCCGTGAGGCAGGACATCCCAATAGAGAGGATGGGGGGTTTCACCTGGACCGCTGAAATTCACACACACAGTCTGGTTCGCCATCTTTATGAGGGACTCTCCGTAAACATATTTGTTTTTATACTTCACAAACTGTATATTCTGTCCCCCTACACTAACACTAAACCTACCCATCATACACACACACACACTAACCCAACCCCTAAACATACCCATCACTCACTCACACACGAACCTTTCCCCAAACCTACCAATTACACACAACATTATGCATTTTTACATAAGCTTGTGTACCCATTATGTCCACAGTGACCCCATGAGTCAGTGTGCATTCAGGTTTAACTCCCCACCGGGATAGGAAAACACACTCACACACTCCATTGACACAACCCGTCAGTCAGTAGAGTATGAGCTTGCCTTTGCTGCGTCGCTTGGGCTTGGGCGTGGAGCGCGTCGCCTGCACCGCGGTGCTCTTCTTCACCGGTGTGGGGGAACACTGGCAGCCCACGTCCCGTGTGAGAGGCTGTCGTACGGGTGCAGCACAAAAACATCAAAAAACATCTCACAACCTCGAAGTAAAACGTTATACGAGTGTTTGTGGTTAGACCGCGTCAGTCCGTCACTGACCTTGGCGCCCGGCGACGCCCCGACCGTGTAGACGCACGGCACCGCGGTGTCCGACAGCAGCAGCAGCTTCACGAAGCCCATCTCGTGCTGCCGGAAGTTCTTGAAGCTGTCCTGCGTGAAGTGCCGCGCGCACAGACGCGTGTTCTCCGTGACGCCTCCGTCGTCGAAGTGCAGAAACTGCAGCCAGCGGACGCGCAGCCAGGGCACCTTCGGGATAGGGAAGAGGGTTTGGGGAGGGGAGCAGCCTAAAATACACCTCATCACCATGATGTTGTTGTTGTCTTTGTCGTCTTCTTTTACTACTCCAGCTTCGTTGGTTGTCAAACCATCCGTTGGTGCCTTTCCGCCACCTACTGGGATGGAGAGTGATGACTGTATTGGAAAAATACCAAAAAGGGTCACTCATTTACAAATATATTTATTTTAAATAGTTTATATAAACTTTATAAGAATGGGAAGAGTGTTGTAATTTCATTTATTTTCGAGCATTTTTCATCAGTCTTGTTGTGTGCTCCGTATTTTCTGTCAACTGTTTAAAGTCCCCATCAATCAAAATGTTAGTTTTTTGGCTATTAGTATGAAAATGTTAACCTTAAGGTTATCTGTAAGTTAGGGTGATCCAAAACAAAGACAACATTCACATTTAGAAGATAATAAGCATTCAAAACTCACAGTCTTTCCATCATCTCTGTTTCAGCGCTTTTCTGTGGCACAAACAAGCTGCTTTGCTTTGCGTTTCATATTAGCTAATAGCTACCTTCTGTGTCTCATTGAGCTTGCTTGAAAAGCTTTCGCGCCAAATTTATCCATGCCTTTCAACTTGCATGTGCAAAATTCTAAATTGATAACCCAGGTTGTTTTTTTGTTGTTGTTGCTTATTTTTACTGGCCCATTCAGTTTCACAAATAAATAAATGAACCAGAGAAGACGTGAATGACTGCTTTATGAGTGATGATTTCTATTCAAAACAGTGAACTTTAGGCTACAGATTAATAATTTTGCTCTCCTGTCATAAATTAATAAATGAATGTCACTGCAAACCAGTTTTATAAACTGGTCAACTATCGAAACGGGAGTCTTAAATCTTTCCAATGATGCAGTTTGTCCAGTTCAAATAAGTACGAGTGTGATGCTTTGATGAATAATGAATGTTGAACAACAATAATCTTCTGCGAAAGGGGTTAAATGAGTGTGATCCAGTTCGGTATTGAAACAGAAAACTCCGGTCCTGAAACTGCATGCAGCCTCCGGTTCTGCAGGAATAGCTTTCTAATGTCTGATACTTTTTTAATTATTACATTTTTAAATTATTTTATTACTGATAATATAGCCACATTAAACAATTCACAGATTTATGGTAGCCTTATTTCATGCTTTTGAATTTTAAACTTGCATTTTGGAGCTATAGGGAGTAATCAAACCATAATTATATTTCACTTGTTATATTTTTATTTAATATTTACATTCAGGCACGCGCTCTGCTCACGCGCGCGGCTTTCGGGTCCGCGTGCGTGCATTTGAGTGCGTGCATTTGAGTGCGTGCATTTGAGCATTTGAGTTGCTATGGCGACGCATCTTATGAATTTTGAATGCAAATATCAACACTTTGATCGCTGTTGGTTGGTTGAGAGTCGAGGCGATTTCAGAGACTTTGCTGAATATTTTCTTGAGCTGAACTTGAGATTTTGGAGCTGTTCGGAGGATTTCAGAGAGGAGACTTTTATTCTAGAAGGAGATCGGATAATATATCCTAGCTAACGCTACATCGTTTTTTATTTTTATTTGATATTATTTCTGAGGGCGTTTTAATTTGATTGTTCTTTTCTTATTTTTGAGGGAGTTTGGAGTTTTATTTGATTTATTTTTTTATTTTCTTTTTTTCTCTCTCTCTTTTTATTTATTTATTTTTTGGGGTGGGGTATTTATGAGGAGCATTGTATTTTGTTGTATTGTATTTTAAATTGTATTGCTCTTGTTTGCAGGAGGATGCCAGGCCCGACCGGGACTCAGAGCCAGGAGCTTATTCCTGGATCTTTAACATCTCTGTCTTGTGAGTTTGTTTCTGTGTCCACAGGTCCGGCTCACAGGAAGAGAGAGTGGCAGAGAGACAGCCAGCAGAGCCCAGATGATGGACGTCCGTCCACTTCTCCTCAAGACTCTCGCAGAGCAAAGGCAAAGGTAGGGTGACCAACAGTCCTGTTTTCAAGCCCTCTCCTGGCCCTCCTGGCTGTTCTTTATAAAGTGATGAAAATGTCCTGGTTTTCAAAAAACTGCTGGGAAAGATCAGCTCTACAGCAAAATATAGATGGGCAAGGAAGAAAAACAGGATAAAGAGGAAGAAAACTAAAGATATAAATATATTTTGTTAGTTCTTTTTGGCAAGTTTGTGAGATATTTTTGTTCAATTTGGAGGTATTTCATTTAGTTATTTATATATTTACTTTTGGAATACAGAACAGACATTATTTCATTATTTTTGAAACCTGTCATAATAAAACGTTGAGTAACCTCTGAGAAGCCAATCTGAATTTGAGTCTTGTAATGTAACAATTTTCTATTTATATGATGAGGAATAGCCTACTTTCAATGTATTGAAATTAATAAGGCATCTTTGAATAAACTTTGAGTATCTGTTTGCTGGGCCGAGTGTTCTGGTTTTTGGTAATCAAAATATTGTCCCCCAAGACAGAGGAAGAGGAGATGCCAATGAGGAAGAGGAGGAGGATGGAGAGTTTGGTGAAGCCTCATTCCTGTGACTGGAGCGGCATCATCCCAGACCGGAGAACTGCAGCGATACCTGAGAGAAGAGCTGAGGGTAAATCAAATGACCATTGGAGAATATTATCACTGGAGTGTCATTAATTACCATATATGACCACACCACATTATATGAAAATACAACTGAAGTTTGATCAAGCCGATAATCAGATTTATTTTTTATTCCAAGACACATCATAACATATTTATTGGCTACAAATGTCAAGAATAGCCATAATTTGAGTTTAATAATTATGATTAGTTTGAAACATGCTTGTGTGTGATATTCCTGCTTTAGAGGATCATGGTCTTCAGGACGCTGTATCCAGTGGTGTTGAAGATCAGCGGGTTCAAACCCCTCCAGCTCCAGCTCTTCTCCAGGAATGCTTTAAGGTATTGGCCCTAATAAGCTACAAATCAATTTGAATATATATATATTAACATTTGGAAGATTTGACATCTTTTTGTGCACATGTTTGAAATGTTCTTTGTTTATTGTGATCTGGGAAGAAATGAAGGTCAAATCTCTTGTGTGTGCTCTGTGTAAATCATCAGCCTGTTAGTGAGGAAAGTGCTAGTCAGGAGAGAGCGAGGAAGAAGAGTAGTGTAGATCCGCTGTCTCTCCACTGGAGTTCTGGAGAGCATCTCTCTCTTCACAGCAGTGGCTCAGGTCAGGGGTCGAGAGTGGAGGATCAGACCACTGCAACCATTAGTGAGAGACACGCCGAGGGTAAATCCAGTCGCACCAGTTGACAATGTGGAAATGCTCTGTTTATTAGTGCTCTGTACATCAGAAAGTCTGCATCATTTTCAGCCAGATATGAGGATCCATTAATGGAAACTTAATTAATTAATGAAGGGGATTTTTCTGTTCCCTCGGATGAAGTGCCATTAATGTCACAAACTCACACCTGTATCAAAATCCAAACGTTTGATCAAAGTTATGAACATGTCTTAAATATTTAAACAGAACTTTTATTTTGTAAAGCAGAGGATCCTGGTCTTCAGCGGGTTCAAACCCCTCCAGCTCCAGTCCACCACAGTCCAGTCCGTCCAGCACCGGCTCACAGCGACAGAGCGGACGCGACAGCGGAGGGTGAGTGACGGCCGTGACCTCAAGCATTAAACTCACGGCTGTCCATGACACTAAAACCAATCGTGTTTTTGCAGACGGCATTTTGAGGCGGTATGAGATGGGCAGAATGCTTGGTGAGGGATCGTTCGGCTCTGTTTATGAAGCCAAACGCTTGGAGGACGGCCTTCAGGTATCCGCATTTGCTCACAATTCTTTTGTCTCACTATTTCCATTTCAAGTCTTTTTGTGGATATTTCCCACTATTTACTGCATTTTACGTTAGAAATGTAACGTTGTTTTTTCGGTCGATCAGGTGGCGGTGAAAATTGCCAGTAAGCCGAAGGACACGAAATACATCCACATTGTAAGTCGGCTACACTCACTGTGTGTTTCTGAAATGAAAGTATGTAAAGATAATGACAACACCTTCATATAACAATGATCTTTGTTCCAGCCTGGTCATCCCGCACCCGTCCCATTAGAGGTCGGCCTGTTGACCCTTGCTAACAGCGGCCCCAAAGTCTCCGAGATCATCGAGCTGCTGGACTGGCAGGACCAGCCGGACCGATACATCATGGTCTTGGAGCGTCCCGCACCCTGTACAGATCTGTGGGAGTACTGGAACGATCACGAAGGAATCCTACATGAGGACACAGCGCGGGTTATTATGGCGCAGGCAACAGTGGCGGCTCACGTGTGCTGTCGCCGTGGAGTGTTTCACCGGGATATTAAGCTGGAGAACCTGCTGATCAACACCGAAACTCTGGAGGTCAAACTGATCGACTTCGGGTGCGGGGATCTCCTGCGGGACTCTGGCTATGAAACATTCTGTGGTATGAATCATCAATCAATCCTGTAGTTTGGGTTCAGTCGGTGTCATATTAACCTAGATCTCACATTTGAGGAGCATTTCTGAAATGAAACACACCAGATGTTTTTAGCACATGCTCTGGTATTCACCCATCAGACGACTCTTCTTCCTGCAGGCACTCGCGACTACCGCCCGCCTGAGTACCTCACAGAGGGCAAGTACCACGGCAAACCAGCGACGGTGTGGTCTCTGGGAGTGCTCTTATTCCTGCTGGTGTGTGGACGCCTTCCAGAAGCACGAGACAGGCGAAGGATAGAAGAAGACGTCTGGTCTAAGCCGCGCTTGTCCAACGGTAAGATGCCGTTCATCACAACAACTGTCATTTAAATCATACAAAACAAAGACATTATGAGAAAGTTACAGCAAAAGATAGATATTGGAGAATACAAGCATTTGTTCAGGTTTTCTGAGCGTACTTTATAGAATAGTGTAATCTTCCAGCTTAACACACAGACAGCCGGTGTAAAGTTGAAGGTAATAATCGGACTCGCTTCTATCGCTCTGCACAGAATGCTGCCTCCTGATCCGATCCCTCCTGAAGGAAAGCCCAAGACAACGCATTTATTTGAGGAAAATCCTTCAGCATCAATGGTTTACGGTAATGAGCCTCAGATCAGCTACTAATGATTTAGAAGATTAAACTCACTTTTCATTTGAAAGATTTTACTTCTGATTGTAATCTATGACTGTAACCTTGTTTGTTTGTTTGTTTGGGGTCCCAG